TGCGCTCAAGAAAGGGGACCAATACTGCGCTTTCGATAACCTGCGCTCAAGAAAGGGGACCAATACTGCGCTTTCGATAACCTGCGCTCAAGAAAGGGAACCAATACTGCGCTTTCAATAACCTGCGCTCAAGAAAGGGGACCAATACTGCGCTTTCGATAACCTGCGCTCAAGAAAGGGGACCAATACTGCGCTTTCGATAACCTGCGCTCAAGAAAGGGGACCAATACTGCGCTTTCGATAACCTGCGCTCAAGAAAGGGGACCAATACTGCGCTTTCGATAACCTGCGCTCAAGAAAGGGACCAATACTGCGCTTCGATAACCTGCGCTCAGAAAGGGGACCAATACTGCGCTTTAACCTGCGCTCAAGAAAGGACCAATATAGCTTTCGGACCAATACTGCCTGCGCTCAGAAGGGGACCAATACTGCGCTTTCGATAACCTGCGCTCAAGAAGGGACCAATACTGCGCTTTCGATAACCTGCGCTCAAGAAGGGACCAAATACTGCGCTTTCGATAACCTGCGCTCAAGAAGGGGACCAATACTGCGCTTCCCGATAACCTGCGCTCAAGAAAGGGGACCAATACTGCGCTTTCGATAACCTGCGCTCAAGAAAGGGGACCAATACTGCGCTTTCGGAACCTGCGCTCAAGAAGGGGGACCAATACTGCGCTTTCGATAACCCTGCGCTCAAGAAAGGGGACCAATGCACTGCTTTCGATAACCTGCGCTCAGAAAGGGGACCAATACTGCGCTTTCGATAACCTGCGCTCAAGAAAGGGCTCAAGACCAATACTGCGCTTTCGATAACCCTTGCGCTCAAGAAAGGGGACCAATACTGCGCTTTCGATAACCTCGCTCAAGAAGGGGACCAATACTGCGCTTTCGATAACCTGCGCTCAAGAAAGGGGACCAATACTCGCTTTCGCGCTCAGAAAGGGACCAATACTCGCTTTAACCTGCGCTCAAGAAAGGGGACCAATACTGCGCTTTCGATAACCTGCGCTCAAGAAAGGGGACCAATACTGCGCTTTCGATAACCTGCGCTCAAGAAAGGGGACCAATGCGATAACCTGCGCTCAAGAAAGGGGACCAATACTGCGCTTTCGATAACCTGCGCTCAAGAAAGGGGACCAATACTGCGCTTTCGATAACCTGCGCTCAAGAAAGGGGACCAATACTGCGCTTTCGATAACCTGCGCTCAAGAAAGGGGACCAATACTGCGCTTTCGATAACCTGCGCTCAAGAAAGGGGACCAATACTGCGCTTTCGATAACCTGCGCTCAAGAAAGGGGACCAATACTGCGCTTTCGATAACCTGCGCTCAAGAAAGGGGACCAATACTGCGCTTTCGATAACCTGCGCTCAAGAAAGGGGACCAATACTGCGCTTTCGATAACCTGCGCTCAAGAAAGGGGACCAATACTGCGCTTTCAATAACCTGCGCTCAAGAAAGGGGACCAATACTGCGCTTTCGATAACCTGCGCTCAAGAAAGGGGACCAATACTGCGCTTTCGATAACCTGCGCTCAAGAAAGGGGGCCAATACTGCGCTTTCGATAACCTGCGCTCAAGAAAGGGGACCAATACTGCGCTTTGGATAACCTGCGCTCAAGAAAGGGGACCAATACTGCGCTTTCGATAACCTGCGCTCAAGAAAGGGGACCAATACTGCGCTTTCGATAACCTGCGCTCAAGAAAGGGGACCGATACTGCGGCCCCAATCAGGCAGTCAGGCAGAGCGACCTTCTCAGCAAAAAACAAAAGGCTCGACTGGCCCAAGAAGAATGAGCTTCAAGCAGCGATCCACAAGCCCCTATCAACGGAGTTTGGCACAAAGGTGTGCTGTACGATGGTTGCAAAGCGTCCAAAGCCATGAGCCAAAAAACAAAAAGCACTGACTTACCTTCCATGCAGAGGCCTCATCTGTCACCCTGAACGAGCTCACTCGGTGGAATTGGCCGGGTTGTCCGCACGCTCCTCGCTGACCGTATCTCCCATCGATAGACTGAGGATGTGGTCCAGCGATTTGCCTGCTCGGCGAGGCGCATCAGTGCCCAAGTGCCCGAAATCCCCCCGAGCCTTCTGAGCAGAGCGGTGGCAAGACAGTCATGCATGTCGAAAAGCAAAGGTTGCTTGCGGGAAAAGGATTTAAACAGAACGTTGGCAATTGTCTCTCGCTCGCCTCCCTTGTATATAATTGGAATGCAAACAACCAACTCTGCTCGTGCGTGGTCATTGCTCCCCCAACCGAAGCCAAAAAGCTGATTGCAGCGTCAATGATGACGAGGCGGTGTCGGTAAACACCCGTTTGCGTGTAGTACTTCAACCATCTTCAACCCATGATACTGTGGATGGACAAAATCCTCCGCCACCTAAGACAGCCTGGAATGACTCAATTCCCCTGTAAATACCAATGAACAATGGTTTCCCATGGATTCAAAGTGGTGCAGGATTTCGTCCATCCACAGTATGAATGCAGTTTGGGTTTGATCATGGTGCAAGCAGCAAAGCACCCCGAGACTGGAGCCTGCTCTCAACCAGCGACAAAATAAATGAACCGACACCGCCTGTCCAGATGACCAGCTAACCATAATTCAGCGCAAGACGCGCACGACACACAGGCGCTGGCCAACCCTCAAAGCAGGGGTCGCTGGATTTCCCCAAAACAAAAGTTGATCAACTTATTCAAGGTTCCAAAATGGAAACCCAAATGCCACCCCCCCAACTTCCAGGGCCGTGGGCAGCCCTGGCCCGATCCGCCTAAGGCCATCCCGCCATGCTCCGGGAAAAGGCCATGCTCCAGCAGCATCTCTGCCAGACGAACCTCGATTGAAACCACAAACATTTGGGTGGGTCGTTTAGGCAACCTCCCTAAACATGTAGTTGTTGTCTTGTTCTTTTGGTGTGCCGCATAAACCCGCCAAAAAAGTAGCCTCAACAAAGGACGAGCCACCCATTCCGCGTAAGGGAATTCCTTCTGCATTCAGATGGAACGTCCTGGAATTGAAAGTGAGAAGCGCACAAACTGCCGCCTCGGGGAGCTCTGAACAGTCCCTGGGATCCGGCTGCTTTTCCGTCACACGCCCGAGACCAAACAGCCGGCCTTCATCCTCAGGGTTCCACTCCAGCTCCCCAAATCAGAAGTTGATCAACTTACTTGTGGTGTCCACTAAAACGATCGCCACTGTGGGAGGCGAACGCTTCGCCACTGGAGGTTCCAAAAAGTTGGAAATGCCTCGGAAAGCCCGATCCTTCCCCATCAACCTCCGACCAGTTCGGCAACACCGCACCGAGAAAGCCGGGAGCCCGGGCGCTTTGCGGCAGCGATTTCGGGCCCTCCCTCAGCGCACCTGGAGCCGAGAACAAGTTGATCGGGCCCATCTCTGACCCGGTTCAGGAAACCGCTGTGAAACGCGAACGGGTTGAAATCACTTTGCGGCCTCTGGTGGCCGGCCGAGTCTTGGAAAAATGATGGCTCCGTCCAGCCAACATGCAGATGAGTGGTCTGGCCGTTGGCTAAAATAGGTGGTCACAGGTAGGGGAGCTTGAGATATTGGCCAAAACGGTTGAGACAAAATGCTTGCAGGTACTCCACCCATCTTATCCAGAAACTTGCTTGGACTGAATTGCATCGGGGATGAGTCTAGGGCGAAGGCCGCGGGAGTCCGGGTGAAGCTCGCAGGTGGGTCTTGAGATCATAGGTTGGGGAGGGGACCCTGAGGCTTGAAGCGAAGAAGTTCTTTGGGGTCGCTGGGGCGACACGAGACCTCACCCCTTCGAACCAGAAACCTCCTCGTGCGAACCTTTGGGTTCGGGAGTAAAACCAGCGACCCCACAAACCAAAAGCCCGATCCACGCACAGGCGGCAAAGAAGCTGCACTGGCTTCCGTCAGACCCACCAGGGCGCCGAGCGGCTAAGCAACGTCAAGTCTTGGTTGACGATGGAAGGGGAGCAAAAAAATAAATTTTAGCCAGTTCTAAGTGGGGATTTCAACCACTAAGCCACCATAAGCAAAGATGTAAAATGTTTCCCAACAAGAACCATGAAGTGGGCGCAAACGATTCCAACGTCAAGCATGACCGTCAACAAAATATGTACATAGACATAGACGATACTCCTGCCCAGCGACGCTCCTTTCGACGCTAGGCGGGCTTTTGCAAAAACTCCATGGGCTCAAATGCGACTTCGACCTTGCTCCAAAAAAGTGCTCTGAAAATGTGCCCTGAAATTCAGCATCAACATTGGTGCACGGACGGTTTTGGCGCAGTGCACCAACATTTACATGAGTACATAGGTCGACATTATACATGTACATTGTTGCATGCATATTGGCACCGCGTGCATCTCCGGACCTGGTCGCCATTCGCCCCTCTACCCAAAAAAAAGAAGAACCCCAGTCGCCATTCGCCCCTCTACCCAAAAAAAAAAGAAAAGAAGCCCAGTCGCCGTTCACCCCTCCACCCAAAAAAAAAGAAGAAGGAGCCCAGAGATTCTTCTGCGTCCAAGGCAAACACCTTCATCCCCGTCTCAAAATCGATCGGCGCCTTCCAGGCAGCCGCCCACTCGCCGCAGCCAAGTCACCGCCTCTAGGCCCGAGCCTGCAGCTTCCTGAGCCGCAGGCAGCGAATTCTCTAAGTTCCAAGGGGCGAAGTGCCGAGGGAGAGGCCCAAAGCAAGCTCCTTCTGCCGGAGGAAGAAAAAAAAAGAGAGCGCCTTGAAGCCCTGCGAAAGGTACAAACCGGAGATGGTTCCTTTTTCAGCCATTTCATGTTGACCCAGGATTAATCATCCCGTTTGATTTTGGGGGCCGTTCCCTCCAAAAGTGATGAATCCCCACTAAAAGGGACACCCCCCGGTCAAAAATCAACCAGGGGTTTGTTCATCCGGGGTTAACCTTACCCCCCCTCCACCGGAGGTCCGCTTCCGCCCCCGCACGTAGAAACCCCTTAGCCCCGCTCCGCTGTAGCCACCGCGCCCGCCAGGCCCTCCGCTTTCAGGCGAAGCCCCGCAGGGGTCCGACCTCGGAGGGGTCCGGCCGCGGCTGGGGTCGAACCAACTTCAAGGAGTCTTCCTAGTCTGAGGCTGTTTTCTTTTTCTCAGCCTGGCCCATCTGAACATCAGCGACGCAACTCTTGAAGAAAAGACTTGGCAAAAGTGGCCTGAGGATTTTCCTACACCCGGGGATTACGCCCTACTCACCGAAGAAAGAAATCCCAAAATGAACCAACATGACCAGGGTTTATCTGGACATAGGCTGGAGGGCGTCATCCCAGAGTGATACGAAAACTGTTCAGTTTCGCCTACGAAATATGTTCAGGCACCGCCAGTCCAACTCGCTGCGAGCCGCTCGCAAGGGGGCTGAGGGCCATTTGGGCACGGTGATACAGACGGCAGCCATAGCTCGGCCTTCGAGCCTGGTCGTTTGCCGGGCTTTTCGCGAGGCATAGCAGTTATGCGTGTCGACCCCGCAACAGGAGAGGCGAGTATCGCGTTGCATGTGCGACCCTCTGTATGCACCGGAATATGGAGAAGGTCGTAAGCTCGGCGGTGCGATGACGCTACGCCCCAGCCCTTGCTGTCACTTCAGAGGTACGAGCCCACCCCTCAGCCCGGTCGGGGTGTTGAAGCGCAGTTGGCTCCAGCGCAAGCCTTTTCTTGCTGGTGCTCAGCAGGGATGAGGGAATCACCCGTATAAGCCATCCCTTATGGTTTCCTTGATGGGAGTCCCGACAGGTTCATTCCCACATTCCCTCCTGAGCCCCAGCAAGTTTCTATCGCACTGAGATAGGCCGTTCAAAGATTGGCGTTCATGCAACTGCTTCCACCATATGGGGGTTGATCAATAGAATAATTCTGGCCCCAAACTGACCATGGGTAACTTTTCCCATGAGAACATCAAACCTTGTTACTATTTGATGTATTCCCTAATGGTCACCCCATGTATCACGGACCTTTTGATCAACCCGTAATGATATGTGCCGAATTTGGTTGTAGTTGACTTTTCTGGTAACTAAAGTTGCCGACTAAAGATCAGAACACCCACCAGGGCAATCACAAGCCGCGAATCGCTTGCGCGATCTGCGCCGCGACAAATCTGCGAGACCCCGGCGCAAAAGCTGCAGAGCCGCCGGCCAGTGGCTGGCCATCTGGGTTGTGGAGACCACCTGAGTCACTTGCTCAAAACCCGGTAGTAAAATGGTCGTAATCCCAGAACCATGCTTCAAGAATTAAGAAGGCGGAGAACCGCAACGATGGCTGGGACTGGCCCTTACTAACCTTCTTCCAGGTTTTGAGCAAGTGGCTCACCTGGGAGTGGGCGCGAACCCCCAAAGGAGTGGGGAGAGCCTCCCCACGGCGGCTTCTTTGTCCATGTCCTGGATCGCCAAGTTGCTGCTTTGTTTTTTTTTCCAGACACGCTACCCTTCAACAGTCACAGCTGTTAAAAGACAAGCAGCAACTGGCGATGCAGGTGGCCTCAATTTCCCTGCAAAGCACTTCCTATGGTTGCTCACACAAACACACAAAAAAAAAGGAAGGCGCGGCTGATCTGCGGGTGCCTTCAAAAGAGGATCAACCCGCAGAAAGGGGGACCCTCACAAAGACTCACACATCTTCACCTGACCGCCTGTGCTTGGATAGATCGGGGGTGGAAGAAAAACAATCTGAGAATCTCAGGCAGGTCGAAAAAGCTGACCGCTGGCCCTTGAGGCTTCCAATATAGGGCCACATACAAACCGCTGGGATACACATCGGACCCAGCCGATCCCATATTTTTCAGATCTTCATCCAGGGCCTCTTGCTTGCTCCCCGTCATTGTTTAAGGCCCCAAAAACACAACGGTTTCCCTTTGGCTTCCCTTAAGACCACAAAAAATGGGGTACCAACACCCCCAAAACGTTTAAGCGCAAAAATCCTCCTCCTAGGTGGCCCTTGAGGAAACATACATGGGTTTCCCTGGCAAATGAAACGAAACCCATCTAAGCCCGTGGAACCCATCTAGTTTTAGCCCATCTCAAAAGGACGCCTTACATTATACACCTGAACATTGCAACTTGTAAATGGTGGTTCCCTTGAATTTGGCGGAAAAAGCAACATAGTTCAATTGGTGGCCAAATGGAGATTTCTTTTAAGGAGCCCTGCTACAAAGGACGCCTATGCTCCACCCCACTTCGTTCAGGTCCCGGCGCTCTGCCAATCCCCAGCAAGCATGAGCGCCTCCCTCCAGCGTCCGGCACCTCAACGAAGGACACAGCCGAAAGGTCCCCAGCGTCGAAACGCAGCCCCGAAACGACGAGAGTGGTACTACACATTCGCGGTTGCTTTCTGCTCCCCTGCTAAAAGCTTAACTTTTAGTGGTTTAGTGGAAAACCCGTCAGTTGGCAAAAAGTTTAAAGTCCTAACATCCAAGCAAAATGCACCAAGCATTCTTGGCACTGTTGCCCCCTTTTTTCAGCATTGTGACCCTATGTTTGGCGTGGTTACCTCACCTGCCCGAAAGACATGCCAAAAAGAGAGATTTGATTTGGAGCCCTCGGAGACGGCAGCAGTACACACACACACACCACACCCCACACCCCACACCCCACACACCGAACCCACTCGCGAAAAAGGCGACATCTGGGCATCATCTTCTCTTCAAATCTGGGCATCATCTTCTCTTCAAATCACGGAGGCTGTGGGACCTGCATGTGAGCATTGCAATGGTTGCCCGGATGCAACAAAGCACCCTTCATGAGGTCCTGCCGCGAGTATTCAGCTTTGCCATGTTTGCCGTTGGCATTGCAAATTGGTTTGAAGATGCCAAGTGTGAAAGGCTCGCTAACATGTTCACATCGACTTTCCCCGGCCGTGAAGAGATGCAGCACATAGACATCGGCTCCTCTAACCCCTGAACCCCCAAACCCCTGATGGCAAATGGAATACATCTTCCAAACCAGTGCCACCTAGTTTTAACCGAAAAAGGACACCTATGCCCCCACTGCCCTAGAAGTGCGGACAAAGGCGCGGCGGCAGCTCTGAGCAGCCAGGCCTGGCGGGAGCGGGCATGGGATGGCGCGACGGCACGGGATGAAGCCTTTGACATGCGAGGCCTGGGATTTGAGGGCTACATGCTCCGTGCTGGACGTAGAAGTCTGCAGTTGCGTGCGCTTCTTCGTCACCTGCGCTGCAATGCTGTCTATGGTGCCAGAATGCACGATGAGATGAAGGCTCCGTACCTCTGGAACCGGCGCACTCACGGAGGCACAAACATATTGGCGGAGGCGTGGAAAAGTTTGCGGACCAGGTCTGGAAGCCAGTCAAGTCGAAACTTGTGCGATTGAAGTGAATTACACGCAAATATGTACAAATCAAAATTGAATGTAGAATCATACATTGGTTCGAAGTGAAGTAGTGTAAAATGAGGTCGACATGCCTCGTGCCCTCCGCCTGGGCAGGATGTGCCCCTCCATCGCGCTCGCTCCAGGACGCCCGCCGCCAGCTGCCAAGGCGCAAGATTGTCCCGCGCCAGCGCGCCCAAGACCGCGCGGAAGCCTGACGCGAACAGCGTGGCTCGTCTTTTTTGAGGCTACCCCATTGGAGTCACTTGCTCAAAACCCGGTAGTAAAATGGTCGACCCATGGAATTCTGGCGCAAGAATTAAGAAGGCGGAAATAGCAGCTATTTATGGTTGGGATTGTCCCTTACTAACCTTCATCCACCCGAGTTTTGATTGTGGCTCATTTTGAGAAAACCACCATTTGGGGGGTCAAAACAAAAGACACGCCCATATGGCCTCTCTTTTTGTGTTGCTCTAGGTTTTCCCTTTGAATCTACCCCCAAAAAAAAGTTCCCGCCACCCCATATGGCTGACAGAAAACAGCAGGCCCTTTGACCACTGTGACAGAAAGGCACAGAGCTGCTCAAACAAGCAAACAAGAGTCGAGAATAGCAATCGAGAATAGACAGAATCAAACTATCCAGATTCAAATGTGGGGAAGTAGAGGGGAATATGTTGGAACCTACAAAGAATGGCAAATGGACCAGGCAAGTAGCTCACCCAATCCCTGCTCAGGCCCCAAGTCGAATTTTGCACCTGAATTTTTGGGTCTTGTGGCCAAACCACACATGGCTTCCTCTCAGGTTTGCTTGGCCCTTGGACCAAGAAGCGCCCCCGCGCCCTCGCGCCCACCCCGCCCCAAGCCTTCCACCGCCGGCTCCATCTTCCGGCGCAGAGCGCTGTTCAGCAGGCTGACGGCCTACATCAACCCCAGCGGAGCCCAAACCGCTGCACATCCCTCCCTCGAACCGACTGAACAGGTCGCCCGTGCACATGGCTGGGTACGAGATCCTGCAGGGCAACCAGAAGCCTCTACTCACTACTTGTCTCCTTGGCTCGACAATCACAGTGGCGAAACTGTTGTCCATCTCGCACGGAAACATGGCAGCAATTGCTTTCCCTGAGCCTCAAACGAAACAAATATTTGTCCAAAACTTACTCTCGGATCTTCCATCTTAAACTCCCGCCCTCCTGGTGTCCATGTTTCTTTTGGGGAGAAACATCTGTTGGGCATTTTTGGGCACTCTCAGACATCCTCTCCCTAACGTCCCATCTGCCTGCTGCCAGCAGCGCGCTCTCTCGCAGGCACCGATGCAGCAGTTCCAGACCTTGATCCAGGAATCGGTTCCGATGGAACTGTTTTGAAGGCGCCGAGCAATGCTAGGGAAGTCGCGAAAGCGGGGGATCACCAGATGTGTGGCTCGTCTTGTTTTGAGGCCCGGTACTCCCTTTTGTCACGGCCAGTTTTTTCTATGCGCATGTGCGGATGCCTGGGTCGCCTGTGTATTCTGGGGCTCGTTCCGGATTCAATGCTTCTGGCTGCTGACTAGAGAACTTCCGTAGAATGCTCATGAGTAATGATAATAATCCTGATGCAAATCATGCTCGTAATAACTATGATGACAATGGTGCTGATCGCAATAGAGACACAAATGATGGAAATAATTGAAATAATGGTACATATTAATGCTGACAATGGAAGTGGTGGCACCAAATTGCAAATACGGACAATGAACATATAATTGATAATCAGAACCCCAATGATGCTACTGTTAATAACAGTGAAGAGCGATCAGCACGCTAACGAAATGCATATTGAGAAAAACAAATGATGATGATGATGATGATGATGATGATGATGATGATGATGATGATGATGCTGATGATGGTGGCGGCGGCGGGTGGTGGTGGTGTTGGCGGCGGCAGCGGCGGGTGGTGGTGGCGGTGGTGGCGGCGGTGGTGGTGGTGGGGGTGGTGGTGAGGGTGGTGGTTTGGGTGGTGGTGGGGCTGGTGTTTGGGCTGGTGGTGGTGGTCATGATAAGTACGAACATCGACGTCACAAAATGCCCGGTACCGTTTGCACAGCGGGAACTCAATGAGGCTAGACCCATGCATCGCGCGACACATACACGCGAAATGTATAATCACTATTATCATGTCCACATCTGCGACGCATGTACATATCAGTCGCACATTGTCAGCCACAAAGGAGGGTTCCCGGCAGGGGGCACAAAGGCAGTTTGAGGCTTGGGCCGGGCTTGGGCTGGTTGAGTGGGCAAAGGCTGGGAGCTCGGAAAGAGATGTCTTTGGCGAGGCTGGAGGTGAGACTCGGCGCGTGCCCCGCAACGCACAATCTCTCTAGCTTGATCTATAGCTCACGGGCATAGGCGTCCTTTTCGGGGAAATAGATGGGTTTCCGTGGTAGATGATTAAACCACCAGGTAAACCGGGGCCATATATTTTTCTACCAAGACAACCAAAAAGACACCTATGCTCACGGGCGTATTCCAAGGATGCCCAGGTTGCATGGAAACTGAGCCTGGACCAAAAAAGACTCCCCTTGAGCATGCCATCTCAGCTCCTAACCACAACATCCGTGGACGGCTCATCCACCACCTCGTGCAGCCTGAGACAACCGTCGAACTGCATCTCGGATATCGCGTGAAATTTGCTGGTGCCACCATTCCCAGTACTATACCTACCACACCTACCATACCTACCATACCCACCATACCTACCATACCTACCATACCTACCATACCCACAGTACCTACCATACCATACCTACCATACCTACCATACCTACCATACATACCATACCCACCATACCTACCATACCTACCATACCCACCATACCCACCATACCTACCATACCTACCATACCTACCATACCTACCATACCTACCATACCATACCTACCATACCTACCATACCTACCATACCCACCATACCTACCATACCTACCATACCCACCATACCCACCATACCTACCATACCTACCATACCTACCATACCTACCATACCTACCATACCTACCACACCTACCACACCTACCATACCTACCTGCCGCTTTTTCCGCTTGCGCGAAGAGCCGAGGTTTGGGCAAGCACATGGCCCGCTCCCACTGCCTGCGCCAAATTGCGCCGCGCCAGAAGTTTTGTTGACGCATGGGACGCGTCTGTTTGATCTGGGCATGGTCAAAATTAAACCACCAAGGGGACCGCTGATTTTAGTCCATACATCCATTTACTAGGGCACCCCATTTTGGGTTCAGTAGGCTGCGCGACGAGCTAAGCGTGTTTGCAAACATGTCATGTAACCCCTGTCTCATTCAATGAGGTCTTAAAGGAGTGGTTTTGTAGGGATCCAGAACCCAAAATGGGGCATACTGAAGAAGTTGCCGGCAGGAACGGCATGCAAGTGTCTCATGGCGAAAAAGGTTCAAGAGATGTTGTGTGTGTATATGTTATATGTTTATATCGCCGGACTTGTTGTAGTCTCCGCGGCATGGCGTGAACAGTGGGGGGACGTACCTGAACTGCCCGAATTTTGATGGCCCGGCCAGGTCTTGTACTGCCCGAGCATCATCGCACTGCTCCGTACCATCGCCTATATATATAATATTTATTTACTTGCTTGTATTCATGTATTTATTTACTAATTCTCTATTTATTTATATGGGGGTTGTCCTATATTCCTTTGCCCGCGATTGGGCCCTTGGGCCGCGCTTGCGCGGCACTTGCGCGTACTTGCGCGCGCACAGTGGCGCAGAAACTCGTTTTCGTTGACCTCGGTTTGCGAAGTTTTCGTGTGGATTGCGCGCAAGCTTTTCTAAGCAGTGTGTTTGTCGTTCACACAGCAACCCACAAAGACATTTCCCGCTGAGGTCGCTCCCGGCAATTCAATGCCAGCAACATACCCTTGACCCAACAGAAAGAACAGCAGGCTCTGCCACACAGCCTGGACACAGCCTGAAAGAAAGAAAGTGCATGTTGCGGGTGCCTATCCATTGCTTGAACCGCGCCGCTAAGGACATCCGAGACAGCATGGCTAGATGTCTTGCTGGGGCTTCTCGTGCAAAGCCTGATCAGAACTATTGGGTGTCGCTTTATGCGAAGACGAGCACATCTTCGGTCTCCTTTCAGCCAAAACGAAAAATGTCACGTTTGAGCCTCGTCTCAGTCGCAGGTTGGAGCCCTGAGAGACCCTCAAGGGTCAGAGGCGACCGTTTTCTTTTTCCTTGTTTTTTCAGTCGCCAGCCAATTGCAGGGCCCCCCGTTTTGGTGGGTCTGTTTCTTCAAGAACCCCCACAACTATGTTCTCCTACGTGGACCAGTATTTTGACTGTTTCTGGGGGTTATCAGAGTCAGAACATGGAACTGCTCCCTTTAACCTAGCACTTCGGGGCTGACTTTGACCATGGTAAAATAATGGGGCCAGTCCTATTGGTTTCCCTTTAAAACCATTCAGGGGGTACCTTCACGCAAGCAGACGCCCGCACGGGACCGTCCAATTCCATGCGGCCTGCAAAGGCCCATGGCGGCCACGGCACTGGCGCGGCCCAGGCTGTCGAATCCGCCTCGACATGCGGGTTGATTTTAGGCCCCCCAGGTTTGACCATGGGTAACTTTTCCCATGTTTGAAATATGATCTTTCTTGTGGTACCAAGTGCTCCTTTCAAATCTCTACTTCCAGAGATCAAAATTCAGACATGGTCTTCTTGTGGTCATCCCATATCAAGGACCTCTTGATCAACCCCCACATGCGTGGTCACGCCCCTTTGCCTGTTTGCTTTTGTTCTTTCTTGTGGGAGGGGCGCGCCTGAGACGCCTGGCGTGCCAACGGCCCTCTCAATAGTTCAACCGACGCAGCTCTTTTGTCTCCGAATGGTTGCTTAGAGTAGAAACAAGAGAGCTGGTGGCTCCTTCTTGCTGCAATACCAGCGCGGTGCAACACCCCTCCCAAACTCATAGTTACAGGGTCTCTTTTTGCATTTCCTGCCGTTCGCCAACCAGCATCTACTTCGTTCATTTAGTGGGTAGAGTTGATTCATCCGACGCCCGCAAGTCTGACACGGGCTCATTCCGTCGTCTCTTTAGTCGTGTGGAACCCTTGTCTTGACAGCGTGCCCATCTGGCATCCAAGAAGTTGTGCACAACCCATGTGACGTCGAAAGCAAGCGAGAAGCGGCAGTTTGCACAAGGCCTGGTAGCCGCCCATGAAAAAGTGTTGTGTCTCAAACTAGCCCAGACCCCCCAAAGTGAAATCGGCCAAAGTGAGCGTCGGTTCCCTAGTGTATGTAAGCTAACCAAACGGCACCACACAAGCAAGCGATAACTCTTTTATCCAAGCAATGTGTTGGTGCCAGGGACTCATCTTCCCCTGTCAGATGTCTACGGCTGGGTGGGCCCCATGGGCCACCCACCACAAACTCTCAAAAACTGAAGAACGGGTGTGCAGACTGATAGCGCCCGCCCCTGGGCCGGGGCCAGGGGCACCCAGGCCACAGGGGGGTCTGCCACCAGGGGAAGTGAGTCACCCACCGGCTCCGGTCACGGGAGCATGGGTGGGCCCACGCTAAGATCAAATGCATCTCCATTCAGGAGACGCGGGAGAAAAATGAACTCCGCGCAGAGTTCCTGTTTAGGAACTCTGTGCAAAGGGTCGAACCCCGAGAAATCTGGGTGCGTATTCCCGGGGCACGTGGTTGGCCGTCAGCGAGCAGCCATGGGTGTGGAGCAGGAAGACCAGCTCCATCAGGATAGCCGCGGGCCTGCATGCCCTCCTGGAGGGGCGCCAGGATCGCCATCTCGTTGTCCAGCATCTCCTCAGTGACCAACTCCTTGCGCAGCCGCCTGGCCGAGGCCTCCTCCAGAGTCGGCTGCTCCCGCAAGGCCTTATGCAGCTCCTCCTTCTTCCTGATCGCCTGGTCCACCTGGGGATGGTAGAGCTCGAAGCTGTGAGCCTCCGCCTCTTTCAGGGACCGCTGCACTTTGACCCGGATCTCCTGGCTTTCCCGGACCTTCATCGCCGATCTCCTGCCGGATGTCCACCCGCATGTTAAGCGGGACCGCGTCTGCCATGGTGATCTCATCAGCCGAGTCCGTTTTTGGAGGGGCTCTCCCCAAGACCGTGCCGTCCACCAAGTTGCGGTCGGCCTGTGCCAGGGTACCACCGGGGCCAACGGCACCCAGGCTTCCCCATTCCCGCTGCTGGATCCAGATTGGCTTGCCCTCCAAGATGAGCAGGTTGTAGGTGATGCCGTCCGCCTCATACTGCTTGGCTGCCTCTGGCCACCCCGTTCCGCATGCCTTGCACATGAACTTGTAGTCGGAATGACCTGCGTCGAGCCTGTACATGCGCTGGGTGCCGACACACGCCTTGTTCCTCTGGAACTGCGAAGCCCAGACCTCCTCCTGGCGGAGCTGGATCTTCATCGGGACGTACGCCTCCAAGATGCGGATCACCAGGTCCTCCGTGAGGTTCTTCCCAACAAACTTGTAAAACAGGGAGACCGCCTCCTCCACCGTGATGTCTCTCAGCAAGGTGGCCGCCGACGCTGGAAGGACTGGAAACAAGTCCGGGAGGTCCACCAGCTTGAAGTACCCAGGTTTTCCGTCCACCGGCACCAAGGTGACAGGTTTGTTGGCCTGAGACGTAGCCTTCTGAGAAGCCGCCACAAAGCCCTTCAGTCTCTTCGTGGGTGGCGTCTGCGCCTCCTCCGGTGGTGTGGCCCGCTCCGTGCCGTCCGCATCCCCCATGTCCCTGTCGCCCTCCTCGGCGGGGCCAGGGGCACCCAAGCCGGGAGTCGGTGTGGCAAATGCCACTTGGAGACGCTCCAGTGCACTGGAGAGGTCATTCATCACATCGGTCGCCGAAGCTGACGGGGGGGCCTCGCGCTCGTCCAAAACCAAGCCGGCCGCCACTGCCGCCTCCCGTGTGCGAATGTCCTGGGCTGGCTGGCCATTTCAACCTCCTCCACGGTGAGTGTCTGGTCCTCAATCAACTCAAAGGAAGTTGCCGAGGTTGCCGAGGAAGCCATTGCTTGGTCGGGGTTAAGTTCGAAAATGCAAAAGATCAAAGTTTTGGTCCCAGGAACCCAGAGCAAAGCTTGAGCCAAAATGGCACATGCCATTATGGTCAAGCATTCCACACACAGTTCATGTTTCCACATGCGTTTCAACATTAACAAATGATCTCCCTTTCACGTGCCAGAACTGAAAAGTATGGGTCAAACATAGGCCAGCCCCAAAATGGCTTGCCTTGGTAAATGGAACCATCCCCTGGCGACCCATAAAGTTGACCAAACCGCCCAAAATCCAATCCACCCAACCCCCCTTCCCTCCCCCCCCCTCCCTCCCTCCCCCCCGCCCCCGAGAAAGTCGAATCAACCTCCCGGCCTGTGAAGCGCTCCAGCTGATTCAAGGCCAGCAGCGCATCTTCCCACCTGCCAATCGGAATCGAAACCCCAGAATCGAACATCGGTGGCGGCAGACCATAACCATAGCCAAGCTCATGGGATGTGACAGGTAGTGCCTTTGGAGGGGGGGGTCCACCTTAGTCTTAGGTGGTTTCGTTTGGTTTGGATGGGGGGCGCCTTCAGTTCTGTGGTTTCAAAAGGTGGGCGTCCAATCCAAATCCAAACCAAACCGCCAATTCAGGCGTACCTGAAAGTGCATAGGGATGTAACAGGCGGTGCCCTGTGCCAGTGCCATCCCCCCCAGGCCCAAGATGACCTGCCAGAGGACTTGTAGGCATCCAACATCGCCTCAAGAGATGGTGTCCTCTCAACCGCCAGAGGTCAAACAAGAGGATCTTGGCATCCCATATGGCCATGGGTAAAATCCCGTACCCCCAGTGAACATCCCAACCCCAATAAAAAGACTAAAATGGGTGGTGCACCTACCCCAGCCATATGCATTGCACGTCAATAGCCATGATAAGCTGCAGCATCCCATTAAAATTCTGCCTGGGCACCCGGCGCGACGGGTTACCGCCTCAGCGAGCAGAAAAACACTGAGGGACGTGAGAGAAGTTTGGCCGGGGCGAAGGCATCTGGAAGCACGTGGTCTGCTTCCATGTCGGAGAGCAGCTGCAAAGACCAGCCTCACTGGAGCCGGGTCCCCACGAAAAACCTACTTCCCTCCCTCTCCCTCCCCTCCCTCCCCTCCCACCCGTCCCACCCTACCCTAGCCACCCCACCTACCCCACCCGAAGCATCCCCACCCCACCCTCGGCTCCCCGCGCCATTCCGAAGCCCGGGCGCAGCCTCTGAGGCCGGAGTTGTAGGTCACCAAGTCCGGCCTCGCGGACGCGGAGTCCGCCTACGGCCCGCCCAGCCGAACACAGGCGCCTCCTCCGCCGATTTTTGTTTGCCCCTTGGAAACCCAGAACGAAAAGGTCATCACCTTTTGGGGCCATGACTAAAAATGGACCACAAAAGGAAAACCACAAGTAAAAAACAAACATGTCGATTCGCTTGGATTGACTGAGAGGAACGAACCCCCCAACCCCCAAAATTTCGGCCCTGTTGGGCATGAAACTGGAGCCTTCCTGCGAAAGGACAGGCCCTCTGCGCTGGACTGGGGCCTCGGCCACGTCTTGTACCCGGCCATGTCCGCCAGCAACTGCAGCACCTCTCTCCACTGACTCGCCTCGAGGGCAGGGGCGGATCAAAGAGCGTGCCATGTCAGAGCTCCCATGGAAGCATCGGAGGCCTTCCTCGGCGACGCAAGACAAAAGGAAGACGTGCCTGGCTGCAGGCGTGAATTGCCGCGGCATGTGACGGCCTCGGGTGCTAGCGGCGTTCTCCTGGTAGAGATGGTGAGTAATCACAATCGACACGTGTCACGTCCATACAAACTGCAACATTGGTCAAACTCCAGCCACGCTGTCGTGCGAGCGGCATACCCTGAGTCAGCTGCACGTCGGGAGGCAAGAGCTGCGTGCGTGTCTCCGCCAGAACCAGAAGGGCTCGTTGCCACTGGGCTGCCCTGTCAGGCTATCAGGCAGCTCCCTACCCAGCACATCATGTGGATACTAATTTAGCAGGTCAAAACGCTTTTTTAGCAACTAAATACCATTCAATATTTAATTTAACAACGGTTTCATTGTTAGACAATATTTCAACGACTACTGAACCAAAAAAGAAACTGACCCGCAAGCAGTGTCTAGGCTCTCAAGCTCTAAACCGAGGCAGGTTCCTGCAAAGCGGCTGGCGCTTCGCCCACTTTGCCCCGCCCCAATACGGGGAAACTTGCCGCTACCCGCCTGGAGCAGCCCACAATGGCCCCGGTGTAGGTGTACATGGAGGCCACGTGGCCTCCCGAAAGCTTGGCTCAACCAACCGTTTGGGGTTTAGGGTTTCGCCTTGCAAGCTTTTGTCTCGCTTACGAAGCCGAATTGGAGTTGCCGCACTTTTCTGGCCTCCCGGAACGGAGATCTTCTGAAGGCTCCCCGCGCCATAGGCTCATAACCCAGTATGCGGTTGTGTTTTCTTCCAGCGGTAGCCTCAGCAGCCTTCGAGCCCCGAAATCGAATCGCCTTCGAGCCAGAGCTCCCTCAGGAGCCCCAAGCTGGTCTCCCAGCCTCAAAGTTGGCTCAGCTCGCGGAATTCCGCGAGGCGAATTTTCGATGGAAGGCAACGCAACGCGATATGGCCATGGGTCAAAACCCAAATCGTTCCCCCAGTCAACATCCCAATCCCCACTAAAATAGGTTTTAAAATGGGTGGTGAATTCACCTACCAACCAAAATGGGATTTCATTGGTCTTGACAACCACAGCCATATGATGGAAGTGGCCCGAGCCACGCGCATCCAGAGTCAGCGCAGGCCCAGGTGGCCGCATTGTAACCTCAGATCGCCGAGCTCAGAACCCGGGCGGTTCGGAGTCGGAACTGGGCGGGAACCCCAAATGGGTATGGCTCAAAAAAAAAAGAGCTAGGGTTACGCCGGTTTTAGGCTTTGGTTCCAAAAACCAAGGTGCCATGTTGGTCAGGCACCTCGAAAAAAGGACCCACCCGGTCGCAGATCTCCCAGACTCCGCCGGTAAGGTGGTCGAATGGAAATCGTGTCCACTCGAATCTTCGGCTCGGGCACCGAGAAGTTGGCCGTTGAATGGTGCATCCGGGGGTGGCTAAAGCATTCACAAAGCTCCAGTCTGTCGGGGATCACAGCGAACGCAGCTTCTCCAGGTCGCCTTTCTCCGCACACCAAGGTAAAAAATCGATTCGCAGCCAGAGAACAGCCCCTGCCTCAAGCTTCGAAAGGGTGCTTTGGAGTTCGTCTCATGAGGCCTTTGGGAAGCTGGGAGAAGCCTTTGACCCCATGTGATCCTCGGAAAGTTGGTCGTGCTCCGATCCTGGGCTTCCACTTCAGTAAGTCAAGTGCTTCCGCTTGAGAAAAAAAGGGCTTGTGAGTCCAATGACTCGAAGGGTATAGGACGGCAAGTAACAATTGGCTCCCCAACTTTGGGGAAAGTGAACCACCCAAATGTCCCCAACAAAACGAGTTGGTCTGTGTGTGTGTGTTTTCTCTTTGCCCACGCGCCATCCCTTCGACTCTTTGAGCACAGGCGAATGGCGAATATCGACCGAAAATCGTTGTCGATCCTGTCGGCCGGCCAGCCCTCAGCCCGAGGCTTACAAGATCCGCCGCGCCGTTGGTCCACAAGGCCTGCGGACAAAAAAAACAAAACTTCCCGGGGGTCCGGACGTCCAGACGTCCGGGCTCCAGAGCTCCACCAAAAGATTGCAGATGGCAGTTTGAAGCTTCACCGGCCTCATGTCAAACAAAACCCGCATGTGGACCAAGCCCTTGCCTCAAGCGCATCCCACGCCTCCCCACCTGCCGCGCGAATGCCGAAGCCCGAAAACCCCCGGCCTTCAAGAGCCGGAGCGCCCCTTGCCTCGGCTCAGCTTGGCCATCGGCCCAGCGTTGTTTCCCGTGCCGCTCTGTCCGTGAACTCGGGCCCGCGAGCCAAACACCAACCACATGGAGATGGAGGGCTCAAAGGCCAAGGCCTTTCCGCTGGAGCCCCTGAGGTGGGCTCACATTCAGGGGTAAACCTGCGCCCTCTCTATGCGTCCCCAACACACTTCCATCGTGCAAAAGTCACAGCTGGGTTTGTGTGAGGGACGAGAAACCAATCATTTTGGGAGCACCCTTGCTTTGGGACACACACCCAAATGCCCAGTGACCCTGGTAGGTCAAACGGGCCCTTTTGGGGTCGACTATCTCAAGTAAACAACCCCAAACATCCAACGAAAGCGGTTGCTACAGAGATCCCAAGTGTCATACCCATCCACCCACCCGCCCGCCCGCCCGCCCGCCCGCCCGCCCGCCCGCCCGCCCACCTCCTTTCCGTTTGGACGAGCCGCCAGTTCCCGGCGCGGCGGCAGCTGTGGATGGCGATGTTGACGCAGTCGCGGTTCAGCACCAGCTGGAGCCTAGGGGCAACTCGAGGGCTCGAGTCGGGACAGTGCAACGAGTCCGACCCACGAAAACTTCACAACCCTTGATATTGCAAACTTGTGTTTTTTGGCAGCCCCCTACAAAAGATGAACAGAACCAAAAAGCCAAGAAACAAGAAACCTTGCCAAGAACAGTGAAGAAAAGCCGCCACACGAATTTTCCTTCCTAAGGCTTCCTCGAGAGATGTCTTTATTTCTTCTCGCGCAACCCCACTTACCATTGGGGGGGATTCCTGCGGAAAAGTTCTGGCCGGGATGGCTTTTTGGGCTAAAATCGCCATACGCCCAGGTTTTGGTTCGTAGTAGTTGCGGGCTCCCGCCGGACCTAGTACTGTAGCAAAAAGGCCCTCGGGGGGCTTGTTTCCCTCTTCTCTGCGAGCAGACAAAAGTAGCAAACAAGGGGACCCCCCAACCTGGAAGGACAATTCGTGTTTAAAGCCCCCCCAAGAGGGCCTTTTTGCTACAGTACTAGGTCCGGCGGGAGCCCGCAACTACTACGAACCAAGAGACCACTTTCGGAGAGCCCCGAAAAGGGGCCTTTGGAAGCCGACGACTACTGGGGAGTCGGGGATATATACTCCAGCAATTCTCTCCGGCTTGCAGACACAAAGACAAACTGCAATTTACGAGACGCCGGATCCTGTGCAAGCCAAACATACTCCCCGGAAGCTACGAATAGACTTGCGGTCTTCTGGCAGTCGCTCTTAATGGAGAAGAGGTGGAAACCTGACTGATGGTTCCCCCCCCTTGAATTGGGAGCCTCTTGGTGGACATCATTTAGGTGGGATTTAGGTCCACCAACCATCTGGAAAGGTTCCTCATTCAAATTCATGCCCACATGAGCAGCGAAGCTTCACTCCAGGGAGGCCCAAGACGTGATTCGTGATGCGGGTGGCTGGAATCCTACACCACCTTGCCATGACAAATCCCCATGAGAGTCATAATCAAGACCCGGTACAAAAAATTGTGAACCCAAAACCATGTAAAGAGTTCATCTACCCGGGTTTTGATTGTGGCTCATGTGGTGTGTGTCTGTGTGCTGCTTTGCTGCGTTTTCGCGGCGTGTCGAGTACTTTGCCAATCGCAAATGTCTAAGGAAGCGGTCTCCCGACACATCGAGCCAGAAACCGGACGGGTTGAAGATTGTCCACCTGAGCTGCTGGCTCATCCACGGAGTGGAAGAGAGCTATGGAGAGCTCCTGTCCGAAGGTCTCGACTCCCCGACGCCCCTCTTGTCTGGTGCTGAGACAAAGGCCTACGGAACCCTGATTTCAGCCTGTTGCGAGCGGCTTGCTAACGGGTATGCCCACACTCGATCAGAGGCAGCTGATTCCAGGTTGGCACTCAGGCGTACTGCAGCGAGATCGCACAAACCACCACCACCCACCACCCACCACCCACCACCCACCACCCACCACCCACCACCACGGTGGGTGGGTGTGGTGGGTGGGTTGGGGTGGGTGGGTGGGTGGGTGGGTTGGGGTGGGTTGGGGTGGGTGGGTTGGGTGTGGGTGTGTGGGTTGGGTGTGGGTGGGTGGGCTGGGTGTGGGTGGGTTAAGCTGGGTGTGGGTGGGTGGGTGGGTTAAGCTGGGTGTGGGTGGGTGGGCTGGGTGTGTGTGGGTGGGCTGGGTTGGGTGTGGGTGGGTGGGTGTGGGTGGGTGGGTTGGGTGTGGGTGGGCGCGGGTACGGGTGGGTGCGGTGGGTGCGGGTGGGTGGGTGGGTGCGGGTGGATGGGTGGGTGGGTGGGTGTGGGTGGGTGGGTGTGGGTGTGGGTGTGGGTGTGGGTGTGGGTGTGGGTGGGTGGGTGTGGGCGGGTGGGTGTGGGTGTGGGTGGGTGGGTGTGTGGGTGTGGGTGGGTGGGTGTGGGTGTGGGTGGGTGTGGGTGGGTGGGTGGGTGTGGGTGGGTGGGTGGGTGGGTGGGTGCGGGTGGGTGGGTGGGGTGGGTGGGTGGGTGGGGTGTGTGGGGTGGGTGGGTGGATCGCGGTACCTGCGCACGACGCTCGGGGACAAATCACCGAAAATGTCGGCCTCGAGGCCGTCCTCGGGTGGCGCGGGCTCGGCAGGCTGGTGCGCTTGCCGCTACATAGCATGTGCTCGGCTACCAGGACATGAAGTGAAGGAAAACATCCTTCACCGGGTGGGTGGGTGGGTGGGTGGGTGGGTGGGGGTGGGTGGGTGGGGTGGGTGGGGGGGGGGGTGGGGGCGGGGGTGGGGGGCGGTGGGTGGGGGGTGGGTGGGGGGTGGGTGGGTGTGGGTGGGTGGGTGGGTGGGTGGGTGGGTGGGTGGGTGTGTGGGTGGGTAGGTGGGTGGGTGGGTAGGTGGGTGGGTAGGTGGGTGGGTGCGGGTGGGTGGGTGGGTGCGGGTGGGTGGGTGGGTGGGGTGTGTGGGGTGGGTGGGGTGTGTGGGGTGGGTGGGGTGTGTGGGGTGTGTGGGTGTGGGTGGGTGGGGTGTGGGAGGGTGGGGTGTGGGAGGGTGGGGTGTGGGAGGGTGGGGTGTGGGAGGGTGGGTGTGGGAGGGTGGGTGTGGGAGGGTGGGTGTGGGTGTGGGTGTGGGTGTGGGTGTGGGTGTGGGTGTGGGTGTGGGTGTGGGTGTGGGTGTGGGTGTGGGTGTGGGTGTGGGTGTGGGTGTGTGTGGGTGTGGGTGTGGGTGTGGGTGTGGGTGTGGGTGTGGGTGTGGGTGTGGGTGTGGGTGTGGGTGTGGGTGTGGGTGTGGGTGTGGGTGTGGGTGTGGGTGTGGGTGTGGGTGTGGGTGTGGGTGTGGGTGTGGGTGTGGGTGGGTGGGTGGGTGGGTGGGTGGGTGGGTGGGTGTGGGGTGGTGTGGTGTGGGTGTGTGTGGGGTGGTGTGGGTGGTGGGTGTGGTGTGGGGTGGTGTGTGTGGTGTGGTGTGGTGTGTGTGGTGTGGTGTGGTGTGGTGTGGTGTGGGTGGGTGGGTGGGGTGGGGTGGGGTGGGGTGGGGTGGGGTGGGGTGGGGTGGGGTGGGGTGGGTGGGGTGGGGTGGGGTGGGGTGGGGTGGGGTGGGGTGGGGTGGGGGGGGGTGGGGCGGGGGCGGGGCGGGGGGGGCGGAGGTGGGGGTGGGGGTGGGGTGGGGTGGGTGGGGTGGGTGGGTGGGGTGGGTGTGGCTGGGGTGGGTGGGGGTGGCTGGGGGTGGGTGGGGTGGGTGGGGGGGGTGGGGTGGGGGGTGGGTGGGTTGGGGTTGGGTTGGGGTGGTTGGGGTGGGTGGGTTGTTGGGTTGGGGTTGTTGGGTTGGGGTTGGGGTTGGGGTGTTGGGTTGGGGTGGGTGGGTGGGGTTGGGGTTGGGTTGGGTTGGGTTGGGGTTGGGTTGGGTTGGGGTTGGGTTGGGTTGGGGTTGGGGTTGGGTTGGGGGGTTGGGGTTGGGTTGGGGTTGGGGTTGGGGTTGGGTTGGGTTGGGGTTGGGGTGGGTTGGGTTTGGGTTGGGTTGGGTTGGGTTGGGTTGGGTTGGGTTGGGTTGGGTTGGGCGGGGTGGGGTGGAGGGACCCACCCAACCACCCACCCAACCACCCACCCAACCACCCACCCAACCACCCCACCACCACCACCACCCACCACCACCACCACCACCAACAACCACCCACTTCGAAGAAGATCGTCGCTCTGAAAATAAACGCATGTACAACTCCCACGTCAACAAAGCCTTGCAGGTCGGCAAAGAGGCATGACCAACAGCACTTGAGTAAGCAAAAAGCATCAATTCAAACAAAAGGAGGCAAAAAGCTGCCGTCCTGTTGTCAACCCTCCCCCTGGTCCCCTCAGTCAGTACCCAACCCTGTCCCATGCATCTGCATTGTTGCACACCGCCATTGCCTGAGTGGGAAACCATTGAGCAGGCGCCAGTCCAAACGGACCAAGAATCATGCGCTGGGGTTGTCTCCAAATGGCGAACCCCCAAGGGGTGGTGTCCCTTGCCCATTGGAATCCCTTCCTAATGAAACAAACCAAAGAATCCCTTCCCTACGAATCCATTCCCTAAGCTTCCCTTTGCATTCCACTCCTTCCCTTGGCTTCCAAGAAACAAGAAACGCTCCCTTCCTTCTCGTTAGCTCATTCCCTGCACACCTGTGAAATAAAGCCCACGCCCGCCGACCTTCTCAAAAATAAACAAAAAAACGCCCCTGCCAGGCTCCTGGAACCCTCCGCAACCTCACCTCCCCGAGGCTCTCCGAAGCCCCGAGGCGCCCGGCGGAGTTGAGCACCTGGAGCCAAGCGAGCCACCGCTCAAAAAAGCCCAGGGGAAATACCAGGTAAACCACCAGGTAAACCACCACCAACCACCACCAGGAAATAGCAAATGGATGATTTCACAACCAGGTAAACCAGGAATCGCAAGGACTGGATTCCTCTGACGAGTCCATGACTGCATCAAATATCGATGTTCAAAGCTTGCCACGCGTCAGGTGAGTCACTTGCTCAAAACCTGGTAGTAAAATGGTCGTAATCCCAGAACGATGCTTCAAGAATTAGGAAGGCGGAGATCCGCACCTTTTTCTGGCTGGCACTGCCCCTTACTAACCTTTATCTATTCTGGTTTTGAGCAAGTGGCTCAAATGTTCACAAGACTTTCATCGGACAAAGTCCAGCCGGAGCTAGCAGGAGAATGACTCTGTGCTGGACCCACAGCAGAAGAGAGCGACCTGAAACAAAGTGGAGTTCCGTCCTGAATCTTTGGTCGGACTTGAGACTTTCCATAGTTCTTTGGCAAGCAACTTCTTAAATAGCTGCTCGCAAAACAAAAGGACCAAGCCACACATGTCGCACCTTCAGCTTGGCATTCTCTCTCAGCGAGGGTCTTTGCTTTATCTGTCTCAACAAGGGTTCTTGGGGAAACAACCGCGATGCCTGAAACTGGGAGTCGCCCTTCGTTGGGAATCCAATTTCGAATCCCTTTCTCGGTTTGGTTCTCTCAGAATCCCACTGAGACTCCAACCCCAAAATTGGGAGTCCATCTCAATGTCAGAATCTATTTTGAGAATCCCAGAGAATCCAAATCCGTGTCCATGTACATGTAGGGAAAGCCTTTGGAAGAAGTCTATGAGAATCCCACGGAGATGCCAACCCCAACATCTGGGAGTCCATGTCAACGGGGGAACAACCTTTGGCCCCCGCGATTAGAAATTTCGGAGCCCGCTGCACCTCTGTTCAACTTCTTGGGGCCCTGGCATAGATATCCAGCGCCTTCGCCTGCTTCGCAGCCTGGCTTGCGTTTCAAAAATCGCCGGGCCAATCGCCACGCGTTGTTGGTTGGAGCTGCTTTGCATGGACGGCTTGCTTTGAGGGAACAGTTTGAAGAACAGTTTTGAGAAGAACTAGTTCTGAGGGGGAACAGTTTTGAGAGTGAACAATTCTGAGAGGGAACAGTTCTGAGAGTGAACAGTTCTGTGAGAGAACAGTTCTGAGAGGGAACAGTTCTGAGAGGGAACAGTTCTGAGAGGGAACAGTTCTGAGAGGAAACAGTTTTCTGAGAGGCAACAGTTCTGAGACGGAACAGCTTTGAGAGTAAACAGATTGAAGAACCTGTTTGATGAGCCTTGACACCGGTTTTTCCAGTTCACCATCTGAGAAAAGTCTCATGGAATGCGTTTGACGGGCATGCACCGACCAAACCTCGCAACCAACATGCAATCCCCAAGTGCAAGCAGTGACCCCGGTAGGAGAGTTGAGGGAACACACAACCATCTGAGCCACAATCAAGACCCGGGTAGATGAAGGTTGGTAAGGAATAATCCCAACCATAAATGGTGCAGCCGCGTTGTCTCTTTATACTTTATATTATTATGGTTCAGGGTGGACCATTTGAATACCAGGTTTTGAATTGGACTCTGAGAAAATCCCCAATGCCACCCCTTGAATCTGAGAGACGAAGCTGCAACCTTGCGGCCTTCTGAGTTGGCGAAACCTCCGACACTTGTCAGCAACTGTCATGTCAGTGCCTCGGTTGTTTGTTTTTTTCCGTCATTCATGGATCCAGTCCAGAGATTGAACGGTGTCTAGAATCACTGGCCTGGAAAACAGTCAGCTTGGATGCGAGTTGTGCGGATTTCGCCTGTTCTTCCCCTTAGTTCATGGCTGGAAGTCTTTTAGTACTCTTTTAATATCCTGCATGGTGGATCCACAGAAGCCACATCCAAACCGTTTTCTAGAAGCAGAGACATTCCGACTTGCGCGTAAGCCACTGTCCACCTGCGTCCATGACTTTACCGGGGCAGCCGAAGCTCCCTTCATACGGGTATGGGTCAAAATTAAGCCACCAGGATATGGACCGCAGGTATTGGTCCATGTTTCCACTTACCAGGCTTCCATTTTAAGTACAGATTTTTGACCCACAGCCATACCTTCATCGGTTGCGGCTTCCCTCATTGATATGCTGTGGCCAAGGAACCAGGCACGTGTCCACCAATTTCTGAGCCTTGAAAGGGTACGCAATGACTAGATTCCTCTGACGCCAATTCCATGACAACTGTATCCACAAATATCGGGGAGGTCAAAGTTTGCCACTGAGCATCAGGCGCTTTTGCCTATGGCTTTGAGGCCATTGTTCTGCTGTCTTTCGCTGAGTGATGTTCCCCAACGGCACAAACCATTGAGCCGAAACCTCCAACATTGAGCCCAAACCTCCCCAAAAGGAATGGTGTATGAAGAGAGGAACCGAAAACCACGACTCGCCCCCTAATTTTTGGGAGCCCAAACCGCAGATCCGACAGGTGCTGCTCTTCAGTCTCAAACAATTTCAAAAACAATCAGCCAGACGCTTTTGTCTGATCGAAGGCGAAACAAAAACTGCAGAACAACCAATCGTGGGGATGTGTCCCTTTTCAAGCAAGCCCCACGATAAACCGAAGATGTTCCATTAACTTCCCAAGTGTGTGTGTGTGTGTGTGTCTTTTTTGAGGATACCCTTTTGTTTGTGGCATTTGTTCGCCAAACCAGAAAGGAAAAAAGCCCACCACCCTTTTGGGGGAAGGGGGGTCCCCCCCAAAAAAAAATGAGCCCGACCCGAGTAGCCGAGCCACAAGCGCCGCTACGCGCCCGGCAGCGCGCGCACGGCGCCCGGCTGCGCGCGCCTTCAGCAGCTCCAGGGCGAGCGGCCAATGCGCCGCCTCCAAGATGGTGATGGCCGCCTGGCCGCTGCCGGCGCCAGGCGCGGCCCAGGGCGCGAGCGACGTCGCGGGACGCGGCGAGCTGCAAACGCCCCCAGAAGCCGAACCCCAAACATGGCCATGGACGTGGGAGGGGGAAGGCGGGGGAGGGGGAGGGGAGAGGGGGGCTCACATTAGAAAGTTCTGTCAGAAACCAAAATCTCTGGAAGCGCCATTCGTTGGACTCCGTTGGAGCATTGGAAAGTGCTGATGTCACACACGTCAGCCGGACCCAGGCGCCGATTAGGCGCGTGGATCCAAAAACAGGCACGCACCAACTGAAAAAGAAGGTTGCGGGCTTCTGCACCTATGTGAGTGACAGTCAAAAAACCGGAAATCCAAAATGGAACCCAACCGGAATTCCAAAATGGGTTGCCCTGGTTAGTGGAAACATGGACCAACACCTGCGGTTTGCCCCTCCTGTTGAATTTTGAGCCACGCCCATGTCTGAAAAGCGTCAGCATTGGTCCGCTGTCACTTGAGCAGACCAAAAAACTCACCAGCCGGAAAAGTGGGGGAAAAGGCCTCTGCCACTTCTTATTGGCCTGGCTTACTCCGGATGCCATTCCTTTCCAAAACTCGAAGGCGTTGAACCTGCGGGTGCGAGTTCGGAAAAGAATTCATTGCATGTACTACTTTGCAATTCTTATTGGAGGATTCCCCCGACATCGCCCCTTTCGATAGGATGCCATTCCGTTCCATGGCTTGACCTGGCTTGACAACTCCATACCGCGCACTCTCTCCAATAATACAACACGAGTGCGAGCTGGGAGCCGCGTTGAAACTGGAAAATCGGAAGACCGCGCGCGGATGCACGTGCTGATCCGTGCGTTTCAAGGCTTTCTACGCGGGATGAGTTGCGCCATGGTTCCCTAAGGAGGAGTTCATACCCGAGTTCTGTTTGGGTCAGTTTACCCCAAACAACTCCAGGGTTGTTTCCACCGACCAGTGAGAACACAACGCCCCAAAGCGGAATCGTGAAGCCACTCGTCGTCTCCTTCGATTCGTCGATTCTCTCCCCTGGGCCTCCGGCACTATACATCCGGGCGTTGGCACGGTGGGGAGCCTGCAACGTTGCATCCAGGAGCTTGAAACTCCTTCAGAAATCCAATCGCTCAACCTCGAACTTAAGTTCTCGTGGCTCCTCTTTTTTTTGGACCACCAACCAAATCGACCTCGCTCAGTATTCCTTTTGGTGGCTCAGCCTGTGAAGACTCTTGATTGCGGTGAGCAATGTCGATCCAAGTTTTGGAGGCTTCCTTTCTCCCACCTTTGGAAGCCCGATGACAAGAGCCTGAACATCAACAGCGCATCCAAAGGATGTCTCACATCTGGGACAACGCTGATCAGAGATCCAGGCATGCTGCTGCCAGCTCGAACAAAAAAGGGGCCGCTGGATTTCCCCTTCAAAGGTTGCGATTTACTGGTGGTTCCATTGAAACTGCCACTTTTGGAGGTTTCAAAAAGGAAAACGAGTCATAATTGCAACCTGGTATGAAATGGTCTACCCAGAACCATGTAACGAATTAACCAGGTGGCGGAGGCCCACATATATGATTGGGACTATCCCTTGCTACCCGTGATCCACCCGTCTTTTGAGCAAGTGACCTCAAATGGCTAATAACAGAACAGAACATGGTTTTTGGGTGGTACCCCCTGTTTTTGTTTGCTTCAAAATGGCAAAGAAACAAAAAAAACTGAACCTGTTTTTGGTGGCGCCCCTTGGTTTTTCTTTGGTTCAACATGGCTCGGAGGCCCCCTGTAACCCAAAAAAGAGGGGGCCCTGTCGGCCCTGTCGACAGGGGCGAAAAATGGCCCGACTTCCCGGGAGCGCCGGCGCGCAGCTTGGTGCCCAGGAGCTTCAAGCCCTGGCCGGGGGGACTTTGGGTCCACCTTGCCACTGATGCAACGAAACGACGAAACAACGAAACAACTAAGAAACGGAAAAAATAGGTTAAACACCAAGCAACTGCTAAACAACTTTTAAAAGAAATGGACGGACGGACAGACAGGCAGGCAACGTACTAAGAAAGCAAGCGAAACACAGCAATAAAACAAGGCAAGCAAGCAAGCAAGCAAGCAAGCAACACGCAACAAAAATGCAACTCAAGGAGGAGCAGGAGCATTGGATGTCCCAACCAGCCTCCTGCCACATTGCCACGGCCCCGAGCGCGCAGATCGCAATTCGGACATCCTCACAATCGCGATGTTGCGACATTCAGCCCAAAGTTTTTGGCTTTTGCCCTTCTGAAAAAAAAAATAAGGCTCCCAGAGAGGGTACCTTGAGAAAGTCAACTTGATTTCCAGGAAGCCAAAGGCCGGGCCACAAGCCGTCCGGGGCGCCTTTTTTGTCGCCAAAAAACCGCCCGTGCCCTTCGTAGAGGTCGCTGACTGGGGTAATGCTTGGGCGGCAGAAGCTGAGTCACTGCTCAAAACCCGGTACTCAAATGGTCGTAATCCCAGAACCCAGAACCATGTGAAGGATTTAGAAGGCGGATATCCGCGGCTATTTATGGTCGAAATTGGCCCTAACCTTCGTCTACCCGAGTTTTGAGCAAGTGGCTCAGTTCGTGTGAGGTTTGCTGGGGGAAACAAATAAAAGACAGCAAAAAGAACAAAGCCACCTGCGAAGTGTCTAACCTGCGGAACGTCCTCAGGATGCGAAAGTAGACTTCTGCGCCGAAGGGAGTCGAGTACCTGCGCCGGAAGAAGCTGCAAGCTTCCTCCCTCTCTACTTCTGGAAGAAGGGCTCCCATGAAAGGCAAAGGGAGCAATCGCCCTCCAGAAGTTTAATGGGCTGCCTCCTAAGAAAGGGGCCCGACGAACATGTCTCCCTTCAGATGTTCACACAAGGAGACTTCCAGGACACACTCCGTTTCAGAAATCGGGGATCGACTGGCCACGAGGCTCGTGGCATTTCAAGCGACCACCCGGCGTTTCCCGCACAGGGGATTTAACTTTGCCTTGTGACAAAGGATCAAGCAAACAAACAAAAAACGTGCCTTGTTCACGTTCACGCGGCCAGAAGGCCTAGCATCCAAACACTGGGCTTGCAAGCAAGCGATGCCAAGCGATGCCAAGGCGCCCTCTAGCGCAGGGCCAAACTGGTCCCCTCGAAGTCCCAGGATGGTTCCGAAGAAGAAACCAAATCTGTGCATCTGCACCCGAGTAAAGGCTGCGCCCTGGCCTGAGCAAGGCCTCGATCTGGGCTTGCTGCTCTTTGGGATCTGCCTGCGCCATTCTCGGACGACACGACACGAAATGCGAGGGAAGCAAAAAGAGTGTGCAACCCCAAAAAGGAGGACCCTCGAAAAAAACAGCCCCAAATGGGAAAATGTGCAAGCCCCTCAAAAGTTTGTTGGAGACTGAAGACCCCCACGTCCCTCCAAAATCCAGAATCGACCTCGGACTGAGTCTCATGGTCCACCCTGGGCCCTCTTTTCGGCGACAAAGCTGGCCGCGCCCATCAGAGCGCAGGCCAGGTGTCGGAAAACCTGGGAAAACAGCCAGCAGAGAGAAACCTACCTCCACCCAAGTCTTTGGTAAAAGCGGGCACGGAGGGGTTGGAATCCATCACGCAGATCTCAGAAGCTGCCCAGCCGGAAGCCACCGAGCGTGTCCTCGGCACTCCGATTTCCTCTTTCGGCGTCAACCTCACCCCGACTCGCCAAAGCGAACCATGTGCAACGGAAATCAGACCAACTGGAAATGAGACCAGCTCACCAACCCACCTCTTATCACCAACAGCACAACCGAACTCGCCAAGCAGCGGCTGACAACGGGCATGCCATGCTTACAATCATACTTCCACCAAGCATCCTTGCACATTTCACAGTTTCACGGATAAGCGAACAATTCTACGGCAGAACGAATGAGCAACGGGCAGTGAATGCCCCAAAGAAAGTACTTTAGACAACCACCGCATAGATTCTGAAGAGAAGAGATGGCACAAGAACGAGGAAAACAAGTAAAGGTCGAGTAGGCAAGTAGAGGAGCCAAACTAAAAGAGAAAAAGGAACTGGATGAGACTGAGGAGAAAGGCCATGGAGGAAAGGGAGAAGATAAACGAATGAGGCGCAATCATGGAAAAGAGAGGGAGAAGAGCAAAGAAAGGTGCGGAGAGAAAAGTAGGGAGAAGAGACGGCAGAGAAGCTGCGACAGCAAACCAGCAAACAAGCAGACATGGTCCTATGGTTAGTCAAGCATACCGTGGGGGCCATCGCCTGCAAGTTCTTGACACATCTCACAAAGAAAGGGCCCAAAGGGTTGCCAACATAGGTGTCCTTTAGGGGAAATAGATGGGTTTCCCTGGTAGATGATTTCAGCACCAGGTAGACCAGGAATCGCCAACTATTTTTCTACCAAAACAACCAAAAAGGACACCTGAGCCATAATCAAAACCCGGTATTAAAATGGTCTACCCAGAACCATTTGAAGAATCAAGAAGGCGGATATCCGCAGCTATCATTGTCTGGGATTGTCCCTACCCTTCATCTACCGAATCGAATCGGTTTTGAACTCGTAAGTGGCTCACCTGTTGCCAAGTAGCAGGGCCAGCTGGCTGCTTAATGATCGTCTCCTCAGTGTAGGCACCTGGGCTGTTTGCTCATCGCTCGCATCGCTCCTCGCGGAAAGAAGCGCGGGGCGCGGATCCTGAGCGCGGCGCCACCCCAGGCGCTGTAGACGTAGAGCCTCCGAAAACCGAACTGGCTGTGGCTCAAAAAACCGGAATTCCAAAATGGAACCCTGGTAAGTGGAAACATGGACCAAAACCTGCGTAACCCTCCTGTTTAATTTTGAGCCACAGCCAACTGAAGAAATCTCGAGCCGGGACTTCCGCACATCCGGCGATGTCTTTTTAACTCAGGCACCCCCCAATTGGTGGCTTCTGGATTCGTGGTTTGGGGAATCGAACCCTTGGGAGGGTCAATGGGAAAACCGCCCCAAAGCAATGCCCCTCCAGACCACCACCAAACCAAACCAACACTCCAAACCACCAAATGGCTGTGGGTCAAAAAAGTGGAGCCCATTTTTAGGCCCCTTGCATGGAAACAAAGACCAAAACCTGCGTAACCCTAGCCCTTAAATTTTGAGCCACACCCAAATAGCGGGAAGCTGAACCTGGAGGGTTTCTCGTGGCAAACTCGCCTGAACCACCAGCTTCAAACCGCCAAAATTGGGGAGCTGATAAACTGCGACCAAGACTTGCTGCTTCGGGGCCGGAGTTGCCACTTCCTTTCACTCGTGGTTTGACTCGGTAACCTTGAGATGCATGTTTTTTGAGGTTAAAGGACAACCAAAGGAGAACAACCCATTCTTGTGGCTTCGTGTTGTACCCCCTATTTTGAGACACACCCATTTTGAAGCCCATGCGAAGAACTTTCTTCCCGGCCAAACACAGGCCGGTCAGCCGGGCACCCCGGCGTCTCCCAGAATCCATCCGGCAGCTTTGGCACCTGAGAGCCGTTGGGCCCAACCTCCCCGAGCTTCACATCTCAGCGGCCAAAAGCCAAGCTCGCAGGTGTCGCTACCTACATCGAAGCGGCCTTTGGCAGCCAGGTAACGCCCAAAGCCAAGCCCGGCCAGAATGGCCCCAGTTTGGGAAGGGAGGCGGCCTGGAATCCCTGAAAAACCGTGGGAAAACCCGTTATTTCGACCGCGTCTGGGAGTTCAGAGTCACACAACGGGGCCCTTCACCCCACGCCACTTAGTGGGTGACTTTGATCCATGGGTAAAATGAGTCTTTCCGTCAACCGCCAATGCCGGGCTCCGCGCGTACTTGATCTTGCCCTGCTCAAACCTTGGCTTGCAAGGGTAACAGAAATTCGTGGCATCCTGACCCACCATCTTACAGTCCTCCACACCAGAAATCAGGCGCGTCTCCTCGGAAAAACACCGAAAAAAATTCCGAGAAAACATCACCTCTCACACCGGAACCAGCCCAGAGTCGGACGCAGGAAACCTCAAGGTGCCAAGCTGTAGCCAACGCTACATCCCAGGAATCATTGCAATTGTCTAAATGGCCATGGGTCAAAACCCAAAATTCCGTACCCTCAGTGAACACCCCAATCCAACCACTAAAATAGGTTCTAAGATGGGTGCACCTATCCCAACATGGCACCATTGGTTTTGAGCCATGGCCACATCCCTTCAGAGGTCAACGACCACGACTCGGCAAAATGGTGCGTTGGCGCAACAGGTCCTTCAAAAGCTACACCTTGGCGAGTTCTTTGAAGCACCACCTTTCAAAACATCTCTCAGACCAAAAGGAGAGCGCCTCTTGCGGTACTGTTCCAATTAGGATAAGACCCCTGTTCTGTGGCCGCGTTCCTTCAGGCCCCCGGAGCCGCAGAGCCGCAGGGCCCCCGAGCTTGTTCCGGAAGTCGTAGATCCACTCCAGGGCCTCCCGACAAAGAGACGTCCAGCGCTTTAGCGGGCCACAAAGGCCGGAAGTCGATTGCGGCTTAAGTCGATGTTTCTGATGCGAAAACACCAAAAAGCCCAAAAGCAGAGGAGCCTCAACTGCACTCCAAAAAGCAGAGAGAGCTCCTTTCATTTTTTTTGTGCGGGTGCCTTGAAACAACTGCCCGTGATTTCCCTTGCTGTACGTGACTGTTCGGGTGTTTTTTGTCTGCCAAGAGCTCAGTGTTTTTGGTTGAAGGGCTGCCCGCCAAAGTCCAGCCTCGACCCATGCAAGAAGCCGAATCGTTTCCGTTCGCCTCCGGAAACCAAGCCGCTGTGGCGGGCTCCGTTGAAACCATCGCCACTTTGGGTCCTCATCAATTTTGGGGGCCCAAGGTGGGCTTGCCTTGTCTAGATCCTCCAGCAGAGTAGAGAGGTTAGAATTAGGGTACCAACCTTTTTTTTCTATCTAGTCTATCTTACTAGGGGACCCCTCCCAACCAAAATCCCTGTCACGCTTTTCCGGAAGAATCTTCCTCGGCCTAAGCCGCCCCGAAACGCCTCCCGCTCGGGGATCGTCAAGTCGGGGTGCCAAAAGTCCACCACCAGCACGAAGCGGTCCTCGCAATCGTCCGAGGTCCGAGTCGCTTCGGACACTTCACAGTTCGACTTTTGGGGACCCCGCTTTTGGTTCCGCGCCTTGCGGAACTTGAGTTGAAACGCTAAAACAAAAGATGATACACCCCACTTTCATGAGATGGCTGTGGCTCAAAGAACCGGAATTCCAAAATAAAACCCTGGCAAGTGGAAACATGGACCAAAACCTGCGGTTTGCCCCTCCTGTTTAATTTTGAGCCCTGCCCAGATCGGCGAGGTCGTGAAGCTCGCTTGGACGGAAGCAACCCTAAGCCCCCTTTTGCACGCTTGAATCGTTGAACCCCTTGATCGGACTGACAATCAAATGGCCCCATCCGGCATTCGTGCCCCATCCCCGTGCATCCCCCTCCTCGTCGGAGTCATTCTTGGTGGAATGAATGAACGAGGTGTCCTCAGTCGGAGCTGGCCAAGAGTTCCATTTAAAAACCAAAAGGACAACCAAAGCCATTTGTGGGGTCCCCCTTCAAAAAAATGGACACACCCATCAAAAAATACCCTCTGCGCTCCCCTGCCCGAGGTGTTCACAATTGCAACCGAATGGAAGGACCAAGTTGACCTTGAGGAAGGGCAAAAAGGGTCTATATGCGAAGGTACCGCTCAGGAGTCACTGTGAAATATTGCTTCCCCGACCGCGGGGAATCGCACACACACACGCACTCTCAGTCTCCCTCTGCGGGAGTTCCTTGCTCATCAGGGCCAACCCGGGTGCCCGGGGCCTACACTCCGGCGACCAAAAATTGCGGCCAAAGTTCCAGGATGATGCAGTCATCCTCCTTCCACTGGCGCTCTTCGCCTGCGTTTCACAGAAGACATCTGGCCCCGGCCGAAGAGGAACTTTTCCCCGGTCGGAAACGAAAAATTCCCACGAAAGAGCACTGGCCAATGGCCCATCCTGACCTCTCAGTTGGGGAGATTTGAAAAACACCCATAGTCATTCTGATTTATTTCCATGAAAAAACACCACTAGTGGCAATAATAACACTTCTACTTTGAAAAACTTATTATTTATGTTAAAGTTGGCATTCATGGAATCAAAAACACCCAGGGTCTTGTGTCAAAGTTTGCAGGAAGCCCGTCGAGTCATGTTCTTTTCCTCGACGCGTTCTGTCCATCCGACTTGGCACCGCACCCCCGACCGTGATGCTGCAGTCCGGAGGCACCTGAGCCGGGCATGACCGCAAGCTTCAAGCAAGAGTGCTGTGAAGGAGCTTCGCAGCGCACCTACCGAACACACCCCTGAACACTTTTTCTGTTCTCATGACTCTCACGGAACTGGACATCTCAACCTCAAACGCCAGGCCTGCCCATTTCTGCACGGGTTCTGGCGGAAAATGTGTGTCCGCCAACCACTTTTCAGGGGGTTCCAACAAAGATCCTTACATTATACACCTGAACATTGCAACTTGTAAATGGTGGTTTCCCTTTATTTTGGTGGTTTCCCTTTATTTTGGTGTTGAAAAAGCAACATGTTTCAAATGGTTGCAACATGGAGATCTTTTAAGGAGCCCTGTCCAACCTAAAAAAGAATTCCTAGCCATTCACTCGGCACGTCCCTCTGCCAATGACAATCCTTTGCTCCGAGGCCGCCGCGCTGAGGCCGAAGTGCGCCGTCAGGAAGAAGTTCCGGCCTTGGGGTGCCCGGACGGGGCGGGGCAGCGTCCCCCCGGTGTTCGGGGAGAAGAAAAAGGAAGGAGCAAAAAGTGGGCGGGGCTCTGGAGCACCCAAGTCTTTTGTGGACCTAAGCGCCTTCTCCAAAACAGAGTTTGTGAAGCCATATATATATATATATAGAAAGAGAGAGAGAGGGAAAAGAAAACAAGTACGCATATGTATGTATAAAATGTACAGGAAGTCCTCTTAGCAGACAGAGAGAGAGAGGGAGCGAGAGAGCTAAAGAAAAAGAGAGAGAAAGAGAGAGAGAGAGAGAGAAAAAAAGAGAAAGAGAAAGAGAAAGAGAGAGAGAGAGAGAGAGTGACAAAGAGAGAGAAAAGAAGTTCATAAAGGCAAGCCCAAAGTTCGGCTCACCCTGCCACTGCGATCCTGGCCGTCGCTATGCGGCTGCACGCCCGTCTCAGGAACCTGCACGGCCGCTCGGACTAGCAGAGTCAGTTGCCTGGCACGAAACTTTTCACCCTTGGAACGAGCGCTGACTGCGCTGGGAAAGGAAACAGGCGGCAATGCCTGCCTCGCGCCAAGCGGCTTTTGCGGTTTTCCGCTCATCAGTGATGCCTCGCCTTTGCATCACCTCCACTTGGGGATGGGTGAGGCATGGTCCTGAAGTTTGCGAGTGGCCCAAAATAAAACTCCACTGCGGGGCCAGCGGTTCTGGCAACATCTTCCCACCGGACCCGGATACGGAATGCCTCGAAGGACTTGTTCTCCAAACTTCTCGCAGGTCATTCGCTCTCGACTCCCCTTCAGTTTTTACCATTGCAACGGCACTTGGAGCGACGGCACACACCCCAAACCCACCCAAACCCCGCCTGGCGCGCCACGATCACTCCGCGCATGGCCAAAGGCACGTCGGACCTGCAGCCGTTTATTGGAGTCTCCACACTGAAAAGACGCGGCCTTTGCCTTTGCAACCCTTCGGAAATGGGAAAATGTGAAAGCCTGAAAAGAAAAAAGACTGATTCCCCTTGGCCATGGGTCATAACCTATGCCTCCATTTTGGGGCGGATGAACACCCTTGTACCACCTATTTTGATGTTCACCAGGGGTTTCCTGGGTTTTGACAACCACAGCCACGTGGCTCCAGCTGCAAAAAACGAGTTGGAACCTCCAAGTGGTTGGAACTCCACCGCCGACAGATCTCTGGCGCCCGGCTGTTTGAGCAGCTGCACCTGGCCGCGGTTCCGAAAACCACTTGGACCAGTGGGACACACAAACTACGGACCGTGAAATGGCTCTGGGTCAAAAAAACACAAAAACGGTACCCAAAATGGAACTCTGGTAAGTGGAATGGACCAAAACCTGCGGTTTGCCCCTTGGCAAATGGAAACAAGGACAAAACCTCTGGTCCCCTGGTGGAGTAAGTTTGATCCAAGGGAGATATAAGGACGGACTGAGCAGAACGAGCTGACTCAGATTGTTGCTACACGAACCCGCTACCCACAAGAAGACAAGGCATTGGAGCATCAGGCCAAGCAAACTCCGAGCTGACGGAAGGGAATCAAAGCCCAAACTGGGTACATGGGTAGGCCTCAAAACCTGGCGCCCGTTCAACTGGTCGGGCTGTCTTTTCAATCCGTCCACCAAAACTTGGTTGCTTTCTGCTCCCCGGCTACAAGTTTAACTTCTAGTGGTTCAATGGAAAACCCCTTCGTTGGCAAAAAGCTAAAGTCCTAACATCCCTCTGCAAAATGCACCAAAAAAAAGGGGCGCCTGGCTTCGTTCCCCCTTCGGCTCCCGGCCGTCCCGGCCGTCTGCGCAAAAGTTTGGCTGCCCCCACCGTCTTGGGGAAGAGCTCGCAGTTCCGCGACAGCCAGGCGCCCAGCCTCATTTTGAGCGAGACGCTTTCGAGGGGAGTCGACGTAGAAAACACCCAAAAAAGTTGCGTCAAAGCTTCTTGGCGAGGGCCCTGTTGGGAGGGGGTGGTTGTCTTAAAAAGAGAACCGACATGACAACGAATCATGTGTTGGGCAAGTGGACCTTTCGCGTGGATGCTGTTAAAAGACATGACTGGCAGTCTTTCCAACGTGAAGGACAAGTTCCATTGTTATTGATGGAAGCATCGTGTGTGTGTGTGTGTGTTTGTGTCTATCGGTCTCGGAAGAATCAAGGGCAATCGAAGCTAAGCTGTCGCGACGTTGCCGGCAAGAGGTGCGCGTCCCCCAAGCCTTCACACCAAATGCCGTCCGCTGAACGAAAAGTAGGCACACCGCCGCTCCGAGCAGCTTCCCGGCCAGCAAGAGGAAAGTTATTTCATCTTCCGTCACAGTTATTTACTGCATGTTGTCCTCCAGTCAACAAGAATGGCTCATATTCTTTGAAGTGATGATCTCTACAGTAGCGTGCTTAAAACATCAAAATCCACAAATCATGAAAACAAAACTGAAGTATGTACAGTAAGTCTGTCAAGTCAAGCGCGAATACAACCGCAGAGATTCACAAGATCCAGCTGGATAAACTCCAAATGCTCGTCTGGCTCACAAAGACACAATAGAACAATCCGTAACATCCCCCCTACCACAAGGGGCAGGGGGGTGGGGGGTCCCCAATTCGGCTTCTTTCTGAGGGAAATGGAACCATGAACGGAATTCCCTGGCTCACCACCCTCCCCCAATCAACCAGTCTTACGGGACCCAGTGGGCACGTAGCAGCTCCCCACCATCCACCCTTCCTTGGATCATAAAGCAGCAGCAGTTGCTTCCGGCAGGTTCTAGCCGGACAACCCAGCTCGGAAACGCCTGCAAGTTGGCCAAAGCGCATCCAGCAATGCAAGAGCCTTGGGAAAGTGGAAGCCGATCTTCCCGCAGATCTTCGCATCCCGTTCTCCCGCACTTCCCACCCTGTCTCTCCGAGCTCTCGGCCGGCGCAGCCGGAAGCCTGACCAGCCGCCGCCCATCACGTCGTTCTGCACCTGGGATCCCCGGAGAGGATCCGCGGATCCGCTGGATGTCTCTAGACCAACGGTTTGGATGTGGCGAATCTGCGGAGAAAAAAAAACGCCGGGATCTTCAAAGGCGACCAAAAGCTATCAACCAAGGGAAAGAACTGGTCAAATCTACAAAACCAAAGCGCACGACCGTTGCGAATGTTTCGGCTTGGCTTCCCTTCGGTGATCCTTTTCAGCTTCCCTCTGAGTGGTTTGGATTGGTGGTTGTTCTTTCTACCCTCCATAAGGACCACTTGTTCAAATCCCCAAACCATCCTTTGGCTTCGCCACACGCCAAAAAGCACAAGACCCAAATATGAACCGCGCCCCTCGATTAAGAAGTTTTCTTCTGACACCACAAAAACAAATGGGACGTTTTCGGGTTTCCCTCAACCTCAAACATCCCAAAAGCCAAAGGGCCCCTGCAGTGCGCGATTCGAGCGATTCGAGCGATTCAAGCGATTCGAGCGATTCGAGCGATTCGAGCTGTCCGAGCGCCGCGCGCTATCGGAGATCAAGTACTCCTCGTTGTCCTGCCCCACACCCCAACACCCCCACACCCCACACCCCCTGAGGTTGTAAATAGGGGGTCCAAACTTGTCCCATGGGTTGCCCAAAAACCCACTTCAGAGGAATCTGGTTTTGATACGTGGACGTCCCCTTTTCGGGGCTCCATCTTAATCTGTAGGGGAGTAACCTAAAAAGATTTTAAGAAAACCCCACAATGGCTTGCCCTGGTAAATGGAAACACGCACTAGAAAGACCTGCAAGGGACTTTGGTGCTTTAAGTTTGGACCCATACCCATAAGACTCAAACTCGAAACCGTGACTAAGACAAACCTCATCTCTCGCTGCCAGAGCCCGCGCCTCCAGAAGATCGGCCAGCTCGCCTTGCACCTGAACGTTAAAATGGGTGGTGAATTCACCTACCCCAAAATAGGTACCCAACATGGAGCCCTGGTGAATGGAACCACTGTCCTGACAGGTGACAACTCGCCATGTTCGTACATGGAACGCGGAAAAAATGAGGTGCCCCCCGTCTTGGAGCCCTCTCAAGAATCGATGGGTACTTGGGGTCAACACAGTCTGCAGGAGACTGTGGTGGCTATGTTCAATGGACGAACACATTGCAAAGAGCGTCTCGCGAAACGTCGGGGCTCGGCTGAGAGAGAAAAAAGCTGGGTGCACGGCATATGGCAAGCCAGCAACAACCTTCTCCACCCACTCGGGAGTGTCGATCTCATCGACCTCCCACCTGAGTCTAGATGTTGCCTCCTGAATCTATTCAACATATCCCCATCTTTAGGGAATCGTCCCACAACTCTGGGCGAAATGCCGTGGTGAAACAACTGCATGAAGGAGATGGCATCAACCATCACATCACAACTGCAAACCAGATCGCATCTAAAAACAGACAACAACAAAAAAAGGCCACATCCTTCGCACCATAGGCGTCCTTTTAGGGGAAATAAATGGGTTTCCCTGGTAGATCAAACCAGGTAAACCAGGAATCGAAACCCATCTATTTTTCGACCAAAACCACCAAAAAGGACACCAAAAAGGTTCGCACACATCTCCCGTCCAAGTCGGAGCCCAGAAAAATCCTACCATGGCTTGGCGCTGACCGCAAATTCCCCTAATGCGCGACTGCGCACATGAGAGTCACTTGCTCAAAACCCGGTACAAAAATGGTCGATCCCCAGAACCATGATTCAAGAATTAAGGTGGCTCTCCGCAGCTATTTATGGTAAGGGGATTTTTCTCTTACCTTCTCTTACCCGGGTTTTGATTACTCACATGTTTTGTTCCAATATCTTCTGGCCCCCTCAATCACCATGAATAACTTGTCCCACGTGATTGAAATATACTCTTTTCAGCGATTGTTCCAATGCTCACGCCATGTTTGGCGGACCTTTTCATCAACCCGACCCTAAACCAACCAAACCACCCACCAACCCTAAAAGCAACCCTTACCTATTCCTAAAGTAACCCTAAACCAATCGGAGAAAAACAAATGCCATGGCCCACTCTTTTACCAGGGCGCCATGCTGCCTGCACGCCTCATGCCTCCAATTATGGCTCGCCAAGGAGCCACGGCTGGGCGCGGAGCCCAGGGAAGTACTCCGGGTCGATCTCCTCCAAAGCCGTCTCCGGCAACTGTGTATTATGTGTATCAGGGGTGGGGTGTGAGTGCGCGGGTCCTGGGGGGGGGGTTGCGGGGGAGGGGGGGTAGCTTATGTATGTATGTATATATATATATATACATACGTATATACATATACGATACCTATATATATATATATATATACACACATACGTATGTACATATACATACACATGTTATATATACATATACATATTGCATATACATGTGATTGTGTATCATACATGGTCAATGTTGTATAGTGTGTACCTGTTCTGTGTACCTTTCTAAAGAGCCACTATCCAAGGATGTCAATGCCTCTCTCTCTGCTTTGGCGTCCGGACTGGCTTGCAGGGAGTTGGCCGAAGTCTCAACTGCGGAAACTAGGGTTCGCCCGTTCTCCTGCATGTCTGGCAACTCGGGGATCTCTTTCTCGTACTTGCAGTACTTTATGAACTCGTAGATTCGGAGCAGGTTCTCTCGGCCAAACTCGGGCACGACATCCTCCTAGGGCCAACGAGATGCTTCAGAGTTTCAGCATGCCAGGAATGAACACATGAAATCGCAAAGAAATATGTTTCAACGAGCACCACCATCAACGGCCCGATTTTTTGAGCAAAATCGGCAAATGCAGAACTACACCATCCGAACGCACTGCATCTGCAAAAACTACTATGGGCTTTTGTGATGCACGCTGCGGGTTCTTGACAAGCACACAAACATGCGAGCCATGAACGTTCAGCGTGCAACATGGCCGGCAACCAAAGCTGGGACACAATGAAGCTGCTGTTGGCTCAATAGTCAGTCAGCTACTTCTCGATCGGACAAGCAGCTTGCCGTGCTATCAATGATCTGCACGTTTGGTAAGACAAGTCCGTCTGAGAGGTTTCAAAAAAACACGCGCACACACACACACACACAACGCGGCAGCAGGAAACCCAACTCAATGGGCCCAGACCTGTCACAACGCAAGATCTGCTAAAGAAACCCGCACCGGCCTCGAAATCCTCCTCCAGCATCTCCCAGAACTGCTGCTGCCTGGCGGCTCTCTCTCTCTCTCTCTCTCTGCAGCCGGAGAGGCCGAAAAGATGCAAGCATGAATTGCAATTTGGGACTCCTTAGACATGATGTCAACTGGATGTTGGTCCAACCTTTTGTGAGTCATGGGTTCCCAACTGTTCCTTCTTCGAAAAAGAGCACCACCCTTGAGGGGGCACTGGCCATGTTCCAAGGGTGCAAGGTCAAACCCAGGTCTCAAGTCACAAGGCAAAAGCTCTGCCCAATTCCCACACTTAAAGGACACGCAGCAAAGTGGCTCTGCAATGTCAAGCCAAATGGAACTTCTGCGCGGAGACCTATGAATCTCCGTGTCATGTAGATCAAATTCAAGCCCAAGGCAAGGCGCTCGGCCTGTCGTTGAGCTCACGCTTCACCACGCGGGTGTCCTACCGAGGCACGAGCGTTGGATATCTTCTGGTCACCCCTTGAATTGTTGGGATTTTCCATTTTGTTTGCTTCCTCGTTGATCAAGAAAAAACAAGCCGTTCCAAACCACTGCTCCGTTGCCCCTGGATGAGACCAAGTCAACTGATGCTTCAGCCACCCTTTTCGGTGTGCACCTGGGAGGCAACACAACATGCCACTGCTCCACGGTAAGATTCATAGCGACCACTCCCCCCTTGACGGGGTCCGAGGCTTCGGTGATGGCAACATCCTCCTCAACCTCCTGGCGGACGGCGAGAGCCAAGCGAACAAAGTCTGTGATGATGTAGATCCAAAGTACACCCTTTCCATGCCTCCCAACGCTTATTACCCTCCCACCGACTAACATGAAAGTGCACAAACCCCTGTAGAAAGACCACTTTCTTGGAAGCGGACCCGGTTTGTGTGTCCATGTTAGTTGGTGGGAGGGTAAGCAACATCTGGGTCCCTTGAGACACAAACCATCAACTGATTGCGCTCAGGCACGCTCCTCCGCGCGCAGCACCAGGCCTATGGGACCCGTCAGACGGATGCCGCTTTGCAAGGCGCTTCGGGGTTGGCACGGCTATCTATCATAAATGTCTATGTGTTTTCATCTATTTAGCTGGCTATCGAATCTTTTCTAGTCCGGCCTAATCTAATCTAATCTATCGCGCTCTCTCTATCTCTCTCTCTCCCTCTCTCTCTGTCGGTCTGTCTGTCTGTGTCTCTGTCTCTCTCTCTCTCTCTCTCTCTCCCTCTCTGTCTGCATATCTGCATTTCTGTGTGTGTGTGTGTGTGTGCCAGCAAGACTGTGTGTCTCTGTCTGTCTGTCTGTCCGTCTCTGTCTGCCTGCTGCCTGTCTGTCTATCTGTCTATCTCATCTGTCGATCTGTCTATCTATCTATCTGCTATCTATCTATCTGCTATCTGTCTATCTGTCTATCTGCTATCTGCCTGCCTATCTGTATATCTACCTATCTATCTATCTATCTATCCATCCATCCATCTCTGTCTACCTACCTACAGTACCTCTCTACCTACCTACAGTACCTCTCTACCTACCTACTTACCTGCCTACCTACCTACCCACCTACCTAGCTAGCTACCTAGCTACCTAGCTACCTAGCTACCTAGCTACCTAGCTACCTAGCTACCTAGCTACCTAGCTACCTACCTACCTACCTACCTACCTACCTACCTACCTATCCATCTACATCTATCTCTATATCTACCTATCTACCTATCTACCTATCTACCTATCTATCTATCTACCTATCCAGCTATCTATCTCTATCTCTATCTGCCTCTGTGCCTATCTCCGTCTCTATCTATCTGTCTGCCTATGCCTCTATCTGTATAAACTAAACTAAACTAAACTGAACTGAAGTGCGTACAAAAAATACACATACGTATATCCATTGGCGCATGTAATTTGTATATCATATATGCATGGGTGTGTCCTGTTGTCCAGGGCTTCTCTTTGTGGTTCTAAAGGGAAAGCAAAAGGAAAATCACCAGTTTGGGGGGGGGGGGGGGTTCCCTAAAAAGACACACACACACACCATACATATTGTGCATAACATCCATGTAGAAGGCTCCTTTGGCCCAACATAGCACTACCAACAACTACGAACCGACCCCTTCAGCCTTTTCCGGCATCAAAAATTGAAATTCACATGAGAGGAAGCAGACATCATCATGGTGTCAGAAGGAAACTGATGTTTCTAGTCTGAATCAAATGGACTAGCATGAGGACGTGAGCCTGTGCCAGGGGACTGAATTCGCAGCAATACAAGGCAGGCATCTCTTGCTCGACGCGGCCTCACCGCTCTTCAGAACCCCAAAATGTTTGTTTGAGCTGCTCGAGCTGATCAACTTCCCGCATGAAGTAAGCCAATGCAACAAAGCGAAACCGCCAGCGCGCCTGCGCGGGCATTCCGCGCTTTGCCCCGCCGCGTCCGACAGAGGCCACGCGTGGCCGCGGCGGCCTTTGGGCTGGCCGCCGGGGCTGAGACCAAATGGGGGTTGATCAATATTCCCTTCAGCGCATTTGGCTCCGCAAGCCTTTTCTTGCTGGTGCTCAGGGATGAGGGAATGACCCTTATAAACCATCCCTGGTTTCCTTGAAGGGAATCTCGACAGGTTCATTCCCACATTCCCTCCTGAGCCCCACCCAGCAAGCTTTTACCACGCTGAGATAGGCCGTTGATCAATACAATATTCCTGGCCCCAGTTTTGACGATGGGTAACCTTCCCCAACCGGTGAAAGTCAAATATTGTTTGGTGGTTTCCCTCATGGTCAACTGATGTATCACGGACCTTTGGATCAACCCACAAATGAAATCCCCGAGTCAGCCCAAAGATCTTCAGCCAATGTCGAGGCGCCGCAAGCCCCGCTGCCAGCTGGCCACCCCGCTCGCGGCACCTCAATAGTAAGGCCAGCGCTCGCGCGCTGACCCCAGCTGTGTCTCAGTGGGTTGGACATGTTCGCTTGGGTTGTCACCGCTGGGACTTCAGTATTGCAGTTGCCATTCACCGCTAGGGGCAAAACATGGGTGGTCAGTCCAAGCCATTGCCACAAAACCTGGGGATGGTGCATAAAGGCAATTTCCAGTTCTACCCCCCACCACAACGTAGCTCGTTGCTTACAATCGTGCCTCCCACCCCACCCGCCCACCCCATTCCGGCCGGCACCCGTTTGTTGAGCTGAACTTTGGACTGCCTGTGATGTGCTTTGTTGATCTTGCTGTGGGGGCAGTACAACGACTGCCAAGTTTCCAGTGGGCAGAGGGGGGAAGGGTCGGGATAGTGTTTTTCAGTTAGTCAAGGGGGGTAGATAAGGCTTGTCGCCTGTGGAAGCCACAAATGTCGATTCTGGAACATCTGGTCGCTGTCTGATTGGCAGCAACGAGTGATCAAACAGACCCCCTCTCAAGGCCGAGACCACGGGGAGTGGCAGCTTGGCGTGCCCAGAAACACACCTGGTATTGAAATCGTCTACCCAGAACAATTTGGAGAATTCAGAAGGCGGCGAAGGCACCCATTGGCTGCTACAACCCTCCAATTGCCCGTGCTTTGATCGTCACTCACATGTCCCAATCCAAGTTGTAACCATGCAAGCAAATGGCTGTGGCTCAAAAAACCGGAATTCCAAAAGGGTGCGGAATTATTTTAGGATTTATTTTCGCTTTGTTTTGGGATTGTTTTTCCATTCCAAAATGGGTTGCCCTGGTAAGTGGAAACATGGACCAAAACCTGCGGTTTGCCCCTCCTGTTTCATTTTGAGCCACACCCAAATAAAAACTCCACCGCCGCAGCAAACCCAGAGCCGGGGCAGAGGCCCGATTTGTCGGGCGCCGAAGCTTCTTCGGCCGACGGTTGCGCCAGAACTGGCACCGGCGCCGCGCGAGGCAACGCCTTGCAGGAGACATTGAGAACCGAACCCCTGTGAGCCCCCGCGGGGTGAGCTGTGGCTCAAAGACAATGTGGCTCTGGGTCAAAAAAAACGGTACCCAAAATGGAACCCTGGCAAGTGGAAACATGGACCAAAACCTGCGGTCCCTGGTGGTTTTGATTCTGACCCATACCCATGTACCAAAATGGCACCTGGTAAATCGAACCAAAGACGAAGTCCTGGGTACCCGTGTCTCGCAAGAAACCTGTCTGATGGCTTTGATTTGCGGGTCGTTGAACAGGAGGACTCATTGGCGAGCTCGTCTTCAGCAGAAACTCAAACCCACGAGCTCTACAAGCTTCAAGTGCAACACACACTCCGCTCCACTGACGGCTGCAACAAGAAAAGCTCTTGTAATTTTCGTCCAAACAATGCACTTGGGAATGACAAACAACCTGTTGAAACTATACCCAAAGGGAGCCAAAAAGCTTCAAGCCATAGCAGAATGTCCCATGAAACGCGCGCCTGGTGCCAGCACGGTCACCGGCAGCGTGGACAACATCGGCGCGGCCGCACCATTCATACGGGGCCAAGTCTAACTGGCGTGCAGTTTCCTGTGACGAGACCTCTCTCGCATGGCAATCTGACACCAAGAATCCGAAAGTCGCTCTTCCGTCATTTGAATTGCTTTCGTCCGCGGCGAAACAAATGGCAAGGTGCCCATTCGCCTGAACGTGGAGGCTGCTCACAAATCTGCACAGCTGCACCGCGTGCGCTAACTGTGAGGAAGACATTGCGGTGATATCAGGCCATAACACTTCGCCCAGCTGGGTCTCGGCAAGTTGCAGAGCAACCAAGAGTCTCTGGATCTCTTCAAAAACGGCCTCATTCCAAGGACCTGCCATTTTTCCTGGTTGCCATACCACCAAAAACAATCCACCACCGCCATCGCGCCCTGTCTGGGCTTGCTTCCCCGGCCGGCCTGGCGAGCCATGCCCCAGCGGCCCAGCTAAACCTCCGCCGGTGAAGCAGAGGACGGGAGAGGAGTTTAAGAACGCGGGAGGAACACAAATATGGCCATGGGCTTCTCAAAATCCCGGTGACAAAAAAAAAACAGTGAACATCCCCATCCCGATCCAACCACTAAAATCGGCTCTATGGGTGCACCGAAAACCAACCAAAATGGGAGATCGATCCCATGGGTTTCCACCGAAAACGCCAGCGAATCGCTTTGGCCCGGATGGAAGAAGCCTCAATAACTAGCCCATGGCACTTGGCCTCAAGCAAGATGCTTCCTTGAAACAACGGCATGGGGGCCCGAAACATCGCGCAGCGCACCGGCGAAGGCTCTCAGCTTCAACTTTTGCTCGTCCGTCACCTCTTTTTTTATGTCCACAACTCGAGAACTACCTCGTCCTCGTCCCTTGTCCGAGCCTCCACAGTCTCACATACATGAAGACCGAAATCATAAGCAAAAGTTAGGTCCACTTGCGCCGCTCCGGCCTGACCAAAGGCTCCCTGGGAGCTTTTGTTCCCTTCAAAAAGATGCGCTGAAACTCGGACCCACACCACATGACACACAGCACATTCATCCCCCCTTCCTAAGCGCCAGGCTCCAGCAGCACCTGGCCAAAGCGCCGAAGGTCACGGGTTTCGAGCCCCGGCGTTCGGCGTCCTTTTTCTTTGGACTACTTTGGGGTAGACTGAAACTTCGGAGATTCCCTTAGGGAAATCAACCAAAGAGTCGAATCCTCAGCTCTGGTTGAGTCACACACATTTTGGCCCGAGCTCGTTTTGACCAGGATTCGTCAATTTGTAAATGTTCGAGTCAATTCGGGTATGCTCAAGGATATCCAAAGCATGAAGCATGATTAATTGGCAGGAAGGATCGACCCTTCAAGTGGTCGAATAGGTGTGGCTCAAAATGCAAGACCTAGGGCCAACCGCAGGTTTAAGTCCTTGCTTCCATTCACCAAGCTACCATTTACGTTTGTTTCAGCCTTGGCCATAGAATCAGATCAGCAGGACACGTGCCACGTGCCACTCTCTGCACTCAAAGGGCGCCTCTCGACCGAAGCCGTGGCCGCGCACTTGCGGAGCGTCATCCGCGCGGATCAAAACTAACAAACACGCCTGACGGTTCCGCTCGGGTGAGTTAGAATCAAAACCCGGTATTCAAATGGTCGTAATCCCAGAATGATGCTTCAAGAATTAAGAAGGCGGATATCCGCAGCTATTTATGGTTGGGATTATCCCTTGCTGACCTTCATCTCCGCGGGTTTTGATTGTGGCTCAGCTGTGAACCTATGCTCAGGGGTCGCCGGATGTGTAAAAGTTACGGCAGTTGACTACTTGGTAGCCCACTGTCCACCGCTACCGTTGGAGGCATCTGTCTCAAAGAAAAATGTCTGCACATGGGATCTGTGTGCGGATTGTGCAGCTGGCGCAACATGGGCTGGTTATCAGGATGCAAAGCTTCGGCCCAGCCATGCACCACTTCACCGTGCGATGTCTCTGCCTTCCAGTAAGTTTGGAGTGCAGTTTCCAACAAGATGTCCTTTCAAGCTTCATGAGAAAGACATCTGATTCCCTCTCGTTCTGCCTTTTTGTTCCTCCGTCAAGAGTCAATGCGTGGGCATCTGGTGGGCAAGTGGAAAGAACCGAATCTCCGAGCCCGAGCCTCGAGGCTCTACAAACCGACGCTTCTCACTGCGAGGCGCCAATCCAGGATCGCTGGAGCTCATTCGATCCGCTGGTTCCCCGAGGGCCGCAGGAAGCAGGTCGCCAGGGCGGTGTCTGGCTCCAGGCGTTTGCCCGGGTCCTGAGCTACGGCAGCACTTTAGGCCCGCGCATTGACTGTTGCTTTTGTAATGGACATATCCCGGCGTAGTGAAGCCGTAGTTGATTGATAGGGGGGTGTCCCCCTTTAGCGATTCAGCATTGGAGGAGTCAACATTAGTCTGTGTCAATGGGAAGCTGACTGCAGCTGAGCTTCAAGCCAACAACCCGGAAAAAAAACATCGGCTCGGGATGCCTGGAAGTGAAAATGGATTTCGGGGCTCGGAGCTCGCCGGAACTGCAAGCAACTCGCACTCAGCACTCTTGCGAAAATTGCAAGCAGGAACATGACAAAAACGCCAAATGAACCCTTCTTTTTTTTAGGGCGCCCTTGGGACTGTATTCAAGTGAAGCCAAAGGGAACCTTCTCTGGGCCCAATTTCAGAAAATCCAAGCCTAGTGGTTCTCTGGGGTAGTTGCGCCATGGTGCGACTCAGACCTATGTCGATATGGGGATTCCAATAAAGATGGTACCCTTTTTGGAGTGTTGCATTTTAGAGGGATACCAAAAGGATAACCGAAGCCATTTGGGGGATCCCCTACTTTAGAGACAACCCCCCCCCCATATAAACCATCTGCAAGGAGAACACAAGATAACTTTTCTCGATCTCGAGGGTGGCTTCCGGGTTCAAACGGCTGGCTTCGCCCTTCGATGATTGCCCCATGCCTTCCGACCGCGGACTTCTCTCATCCAAGTTGCTGGCGACACGCAGGCCAAGACCCTTAGTGGCCAAAACTAGGCGCGCAGCCACCAAACAAGAGCCCGCATGGGTTGTGGCAAAACATGTCGTCGTGCGAGCACCAAGGGCAATGCACTATGCAAAGGGACTAACTCGCGTTACATGGCAAGAATGAAAGGGAAAGCATCAGTGGCCAACCCTTAAATCATTTGGCTGCAGACGGAGGATGAGGTGTTTCATGCTTGCTGCTGGTCCGCGAGTGACGCGTGTGTGCTTTCATTCTTCGTATGCGTCACCATGAAATCCAGACATGACGCCATCGAGGCAAAACGTTGGATGTGAATTTGACCGCCCCCTTGGCCTGCCAGGGCGCTGGTGTGTTCACTGTCACATACATTGGTAGCTATGCATCTGCTCAGTTCGAAGAATTGGGTGCGGAGTTCAAGCAATCAAGACATCTGCCGCTTGCTAAACATTAGCATTGGGGCGACGTTTGACGCCGTACTTGACTCAATTTGGCGCAAAAGCCGCAGGCCACCTCAAACTTGCACAGGAAATGGCAGCCACGTCAAACTGCTCAGTGGACAGGGTGTCTGTTGTCAAAGTATATGCGCCAAGAACCCAGGCAAAGCAAGACGGTTGACCGACGCTTTGATTGCCAATCATCGGGCCCCTTGCACCTGGACTTTCGAGGCCAGGCACGAGCCAGCCCAACCTGTCGCAAGACTTACGCAGGAACTTGCGAGCCATCCGGATGTGTGGAAGCAGCGTTACAGGAATGGCACATGCCGCAAAACCCATCCATTCCGACTTCCGTGTTCAAAGCATGGGTTAAATGTTGAGGGATTCCAGAGGTTGGCAGAGAGCACCCAGCCTGTGCGGTCGCCATTTCACGACTGCAGGGGAAGAAGGATGGCTCAAGCTGCTCTTTGTGCTCAACAAGCCCATAACGAGCTCCAATGCTTGCGCCAAGGAAAGTGTCTGCACTCTCCGAAGCAATCGTGGTGCCTTCAGATCCCAGATCCCTCCGAAGCAATCCTGGTGACTTCAGATCTCAGAACCTCACCGCTCCCAGTCAGAAAGAAAAATAGTATCATTATTTTATTTATTTTTATTTGTTTTTATGACGCCCACGTCTGCCATTGAAGCTGTGCGCCACTTGATGGCCTTGCCCTCGTCACAAGCGGCGATGCCAAGAAACCTGCAAAGGGGTGCCTGGCCGCCGCTTCACGCACACGATCACGGCTCAAGATGCTCGCGGCTGTGCTTGCAATCTGTTTCTCCCTCTGACTCGGCCCTTGCACCGGGCAACCAACTCCATGCCAAGATCTGTCGGGACACCGGCAAAGTCCAAGCGGGAACATCCCATGCGCGGACGCGCGTCTGAAGAACGCGAGCAAAAGCTCGAAAAATGAGGTCTGGCTCGGGGGAAAAAAAGAAAAGAACTCCGAGCCACAGGCAGTCCCCCAAAGGGGAGGCCAACCACGCAGCTCTCAGGGATGGACCCAGCTCAAAAGCCGACACTCGGCCGTGAAATATGTCCAACGCTCCAGGTGCAACGAGGGGAAACGCCCTGCTGACCAATGGCTTGCCAGAGCTGCTGGAAATCCGAAGTGCTGTCCCCTTTTCTGGGGTTGAGAACCGAAATTGCCGGTTGAAACACACACAAAACAAAAAGCGATCGGTTCAAAACTAGCTTCCAAATTGGGACATCAGCCAGGGCAAAATCCCGAGCAAGCTTCATGTTGGGAATCTCCTGAAATGGAATGTCCTTTTTGGATGACGTACAACCAACCAATAGGTCTAGAAAACATTTTAGATGTGGAAGGAGAAAAGGTAAGGGCGACCCAAGGCAGCGCTTCGATGACGGTTGCTGCGCGTGCAGGGGGTTCAAAGAGATGCCATCCAAATCTAAATGGACCACTGGAGCGGGGAAATATGCAACCATTCGAAGAATCATCCTTGGGTCGAATCATCTTTGCGTTGAAGTGTCTGGCTCTACCGGCTCTCTGAACGTTGATTAAAGTCTTCATTGCGTCGGGACAAATCGATCCCCTTTGGTGGAAACAACCCACATTCCTTTGACCCAGAGGCGCAGGCCGCCTCTTGCCAGGAAAAAAAAGAACAGAGCCCGAGCCCGGATCAGAATCATGTCTGTGGCCCAAGTCCTCACGAGTCCTCAAAGATCACTGGATTTTCCGATGGAAAGTTGCAAGTTACTTGTGGTTTCCATTGACACTGCAACTTCAGAACCCTTGGTATGGGCCAAGAAAAAGCTCTGGCTCTTTTTTGCAGCCCCCTACTAAAACTGAACAGAACACAAAAAACAACTTGCCAATACCTTCGAAGGCAACTTTTGGAGGTTGCAAAAAGACAGAAAAAAACATGAGGAAAAAGAGACTGTTCCTCCCCACTCCCAATATTTCACCCGAGCCACAGGTCTGCGAGGGCCTTTGCTGCCACCTGCCCTGCGCCCTCTCCGTCCGTCTGCAGGGCGCTCAGCTCCTCCAGGATGGGCCTGGCCCAAACCGGCCGCGCCGCGCGCGCGCGCGCTCGCATCGCCGGCCGGCTCCCGGCGCCTGCTGGGCCTTGGGAACTCCTCGCGGCCCATGAAGCGCAGAGGCGCGCCGTGGGCGTCCGCGCCGCAGCGGAAGGCGCCGTCCTGGCGGTTGGGGCGCTGGATTGGGGTGGGGGGTGAGGGGCCTGGGGCGGCTGGGCTTGGGTGGGAAGGTGGGTGGCGAGGGTGGGCCGGCGGGGGTGGGTGGCGGGGGTGGGGGTTGGGCTGGGGAGGGGCATTTGGGGGCCGCATGTCCCAGAAATCTACCCGAGCACCCGCTCAAACCCTTTTTTTCGGAGATCTCCCAAAGGCTTTCGATTGATGTTCCCCAGAATGCTCTTTTTGTGCCGCCGGACGGGTGTCTCCTTTCTTTTGTTTTTGGTACCCCCGTTTTGGTTGGTTTTAAGGTAAACCAAAAGGAAAACCCATTATTTTGGGGGTCTATTCTCTGCTGCACCCATGTGTTCTGGGACAACACCTCTCTGATGTCAGTCATTCGGCTTCTGAACATGACGCTGGCGCTTGCGCCAAAACTTGTGGGTGAAACAAGATTGGCGACGTGAAGACCGATGGTGTTATGGCGCTATGCGCATGGTGATATGGGCAAGCAACATCCGCTCTCTCTGCGCTACCATACTGTGGATGGACGAAATCCATTTCGCACCACCTTGAAAGCATGGTTGAAACCAGCGTTGGTATTTACAAAGGGAATCGAATCAGAAACGGATCGGGATTCTGAACGGTGGTGCGTTTTAAACGGATTTCGCACCCACCCACAGCAGCTCCCCTAACTTCGCCCGTCCCGTTCGAGGCGGACGAGGCGGACTCTCGCGCCTCGCGACGGAAGTGCTTGTCCGACAGCTTGCCCGCCCCGCAGAACTTCCGGGAGAAGGCGCCCAGCTGCCTGCAGCAGGGGAGGGGGGAGGAGGAAGTATGGTGGATACTTAGGGACTACCTCCTTTTAGGGTGAGGGAGGGAGGGGAGGGAGGGGAGGGAGGGGAGGGAGGAGGGAGGGGAGGGAGGGAGGGAGGGGGGAGGGAGAGGGAGGGAGGGAGGGAGGGGGAGGGAGAGGGAGGGAGGGAGGGAGGGGAGGGAGGAGGGGAGGGAGGGGGAGGGAGGAGGGAGGGGAGGGGGAGGGGGAGGGAGGGAGGGGGAGGGAGGAGGGAGGGGGAGGGGAGGGAGGGGAGGGAGGGGAGGGAGGGAGGGAGGGAGGGGGAGGGGGAGGGGAGGGGAGGGGGAGGGAGGGGAGGGAGGGGAGGGAGGGAGGAGGGGAGGAGGGAGGGGGAGGAGGGGGAGGGAGGGGGAGGGAGGGGGAGGGAGGGAGGGGAGGGGGGGAGGAGGGGGAGGGAGGGGAGGGAGGGGAGGGGGAGGGGAGGGAGGGGAGGGAGGGGGAGGGAGGGGAGGGGGGAGGGAGGAGGTGGGAGGAGGGGAGGGAGGGAGGGGGAGGGGAGGGAGGGGAGGGAGGGGAGGGAGGGAGGGAGGGGAGGGAGGGGAGGGAGGGGAGGGAGGGCAGGGAGGGGAGGGAGGGGAGGGGGGAGGGGTGGGAGGGGTGGGAGGAAGGGGGGGCAAGGAGGGGGCGCAGGGGGCGGGGTCAAGGGGCTGGGTTGGCCAAAGCACTTCTTCAAACGAAAAGAGAGAGCCGGGTTTCAAGAAGGCAGCGTCAAAAAACAAGCTCTATTCACGCCGGACCAGATTGCTTCAAATGTCTAGCGTGCAAGGTGAAGCCTCAAAACATGGCGTCCCACGCCCACTCTGCCGCGCCAACATTGACACCCTGCCAAGGCCCGCGCCGCAACATGCGGAAGAGCATCTCGTTGTTGTCTCGGCCCGTGAAGAGGAACTTGCCGGTGGCCAGCTCGAAGACCGTGCACCCAGCGCTCCACACCTAACGGGCCCAAAGCCAACCCCTTCCAGAAACAAAATCCCTCATCTCTCTTGGCCAGTGACCAGCCAAAAAAAAGTGTACACTTTTTGGGCCACCACTAGTAAACTAGACCACGGTTGGCCCGAAAGCATCACGGCCCCGTGACCATTCCCCCGCAAGTTTTTTGCTCGACGCGCGCTCCGGCCCCCAGACCATGTCCTTCTCTTCTTGCGCTTGGCTGCGATTTGCCCTTCAAGCCACGGGAGGCCATGACGAGCCGCGCCCGCCTGGAGTCTAGCTACTTCCCGCTCCATGATAGGCGCTTGAGCCGATGCTGAGATAGCTGCCGCGGACCAGGCGTGCGACTCCGAGAGCAGCCGTGCAAACCACGCGACAACTTCCAAAGACCAGTCCGCAAGCAACCAAATCGCACGGCGCCACAGCGAGAGCGCTTCGACACGCGCGATCCCCGCAGAGGGTTCATCGGGCACTTTGAAAATGCGCACGGCGCCGCAGCGACAGCGCTTCGACCACGCCGATCTGCGCAGAGGGTCGCGCGGGAATGCTAAAAATCGTAAAAACCCTCATCTTTTTAACATCGACCATGCCGATCTCCGCAGAGGGTCGCGCGCACAGAACAAAAAAACAAGTTTTTAAACACGCGGATCTCAGAGGGTCGCGCGGGAAACGCAGAAATCGCAAAAAGTCCAGTTTTTTAACGTCGACCACGCCGATCTCCACAGAGGGTCGCGCGCGCACGCCGCAGAAATCGCAAAAAGTCCTCAGTTTTTTACCATCGACCCCGCCGATCTCTGCGGGGGCTCGCGCGCGCGCGCACCACAGAAATCGTAAACGTCGACCACGCCGATCTCCGCAGAGGGTTGATTTTTTGTAGAGTGCTGTCGGCCCTACCCCGCCGCCGTAAGAAGAGAAGACAAGAATTTTAAGCTCCTCTCATGAGAACTCTCATGAGCACGGCTCCTCGCCAGTGACTCTCACGAGCATTGCTCCTCGCAAGTGACTCTCACGAGCATTGCTCCTCGCAAGTGACTCTCATGAGCATTGCTCCTCGCCAGTAACTCTCACGAGCGTTGCTCCTCGCCAGTGACTCTCACGAGCATTGCGCCTCGTAAGTGACTCTCTGTGCAATGACTCTGTGCAATGGCTCTGTGCAAATGACTCTGTGCAATGACTCTGTGCAATGACTCTGTGCTATGTCTCTGTGCAATGACTCTCATGATGATGATGACTCTGTGCAATGACTCTGATGATGATAACTCTTTGCAATGACTCTCATGATGATAACTCCCATGAACCCAACGGAAGAACCCTTCGCCATGCTTTCGGGAAAAGGGAGAGCCACCAAGGAAAAAAGTGTAAAGTGTGTCCACTGGCTGGGTGAGTTATCCCGTTTTCCAAGGTGCATCGATCTGCGTGTCGTAGGGCTGCCCCAGGATCACCTCCGGAAAACCCGCTCAGCGAAAAACCGGAGAGAAAAGAAGAAAAAAAGAACACCAAGCGACCTTCGACTCGCCCGACTCGCAGAGGGAACATGCAAAACATAGGAAGGGTTCGTCAGCTTCCCCCCCCCCAATTGCTGGTTTGCATTGATGATTCGGGGGTTCAGGGGTTTCCCATGTCTACAAAAGGCTAACCTGACTTTGCTAGTAGATGGAAGCAAAACAATCTGAAGCGCCATCTACTTTTCGAACCAAACTAAGCGATCGAAAGGACACAAATGGAGTCTGAGTCTGTATTGTCTAGTGGGAACCAATCTCAGCCAGCAAGCCAACTTTCAATTGCATCTACGGGAAATTAACTACCGACCTCCATTTTGAGCCTGCAAAAATATGTGTAGAGTCTACGAAAAGTTTATGCTAGTTTGTTCAAAGCTAAATGTTCGGTCAATGGACATGCGTGATATTGAGGCATGTTTTTGGAGTCAGTTTAGGGTTGTCTATGTTTGAGGATAGGCTTCGGCTTCATTTCAAAGTTTTCCGGGTTGGGTTGGGGTGGGCTCGAGATTAGCTTGGAGCGAGCTTCGAGTAGGGTTGACTTAGACTTGAATTAGCCTTGGTTCAGGGTGTCTTGTTTCGGATAGTGTGGGGCCGGTTTCGGTTGATGTTCGGTTGGTCTAGGGTTGGGTTTCCAGTGGGCACACGCTTGGTTTGGAGTCTTTTGAGTTGGGCTAGGGGGGTGGTCTAGGGTTGAAGCGTTGCTTTGAAGACTGGCTCAGGCTGGGCTTCTGGGTCTTAAGTTGGTGTCTTGGTTTGCGGGTCAAGGGCAAAACGAAAACCAAAACGAGCCAAAGGAAGCCAAGTGGATTCTTTGTCGCCCATCACCCGCTGAGTTTCTAACCCACCCCTGTCGTCTTCGCCCCGGGCCCCGGTTTCCGCGCCTCCGGCGCCCGGTAGAACCGCGGCTGCAGGGATTCTGCGGCCTTCTCCGGGCGAAAGCGGTCCTCACCGAGTCAAAGGGCTGGAGGGCTGGAGGGCTCGAGAAGCTCGGCTCGGCTCGGTGGTTGCAACGCCATGCAGGAGGCTTTTTCTGGGTGCACAAGCATCCACCGCCCTTTTTCTCACCCAGCATTCCCGACCTGTGTCAAATTTGGGCGGGCCAGGCATCTTCAAGCGACTAGTTTTGGTGTGTATATATATATGTGTAAATATATATATATATATATATACATATATATATATATATGTATATATATATATGAAATGTGTATATTACAGTTTCAACAAAACGTGACAACGTATTCTGGAGTGGCTCCTGTATCTAAACGAACGAATGGCGAACCATTTTTCCAGGGATGCCGTGCCTTCACATCCATGGCCGAGCCGAAGTCGGAAAGCTTCACGGACATCTTGTCCTGAGAGCAAACGAGTGCATGTTTCCTTTTGCCTTCCCTTTTCAAATCAACAGGGTACCCTCAAAAAAGACAAAACCAGGACTTGCTCTATAGTTCTGAAAGTAGATCGCGCGAGGTCGTGCATTTCCAACAAAAAGCAAGGGTCGGCAGACTTGATTACTACAAGCACCCGGCACACAGCCTAAGCTCCACGCTGCTCTAGAGAGAAGACGGTACGTGTCGATCAGAAAAAAGGAGAAAGGCTTGGTTCCCCGACCACCCCATCTCCATCTCTGGGTGTGTCTCTGTTCTTAGGATTTGGATCCCCCAAGATGGCTGGGAGTTTCTCCTTGGGGCTTCCCTACAACACCACCAAAAACGTCGGGGCCCCCTCAGAAAGAGACACACCCATTCAGGCTCCACACATGGGTATATTTAACATCCAGCCTCAAAAATAAAACACCCACACGCCCTTTTCGGGTATATCCAGCCTCAACAGAAAAACGGGAGAAAAAAAGAAGAAGAAAAACTCCACCCCACCCCCCCTTCCCCTTCCCCCCCCTTTCTTTTGTTCTTTTTCTCACCGAGCGGCCATGGACACCAGCAAGTTGTCCGGCTTCAGGTCGCTGTGCACGATGCTCACCAGTCTTAAGGCCCGAAGCGCCATGAAGATGTTCCGGGCCTCGGATCAACCCCGAGATACGCACCGTCCAGACGGGTCACCGAGATACGCACCGCAGGGGTTTGGGGTCCTTTCCAGTTAAACCAGAAACAAGCCAGTGGAAAGTTAGACCTATTTCTTCGCAAACCCATGTGAAGATCGGTTGGAGGGAGCTTGGCGAGTTTATTTGGCTTTGGTTGGGGATGTACCGAAAGAAGAAAAGAGGCCAACCACTTTTAGGTGTCCCATGGCCCCTTTCAGACGGGGAAAAAACGACCCAAAGGACCCAAACGACCCAACCCTCGCAGCCCGTGGGTTTTTTGGAACACCTCCACCAGTCAAGAGACATTTTCGGTTGGAACTTCTGGGGAAGGAAAAACGCCCCCGGGCGCGAGAAGAAAGCACTGTCTGCTCATGCACCCACAAAAAAACACTCGGAAAATTTGCACATTGCAGGACCCTTCGGTTCGCAGGGACCCCTTAATTTATTTCTCATCAATCCACAAGCTGGAAAAGTCCGGTTGCCCGGGACTCAAAACTCTACAAAGAAAAAAACACGGCCATTTACTTTACCAACAAAAAAAACACGGCCATTTGGCTCCATGTTGGCTCTAAGGACCAAATGTGCCAATCCTTTGCAACCGAAGCGCGTAGTTTCGCACGAGCCCCAGCGGCAGGCCTTGTCCTGCACAGAGACTGCGAATGGAGGACCAACTGGCCAAGGAAAGTCCAAAAAGTACCAGCACTTTCATGTACGAGGGGTATGCAACTGGAAGCTAGCTGTTCAGTGTTTCTCAACAGGACACGGATTTGGCTATGGGTGGCGTGTGCTTCGTGAAAGGACATGTACCCTTCCACTTTTGCGAAGGGAAAGCAAAGCAATGTGCCGTCGCGGCCAGCCGGCCAAACAACTATAGATAGCTGAAGTATCAGAAGCGAGCGGTTTCAAGCCCTCATGTTGCCCCCACCTTCCCAGTAGCTGGCAGTCACCTTTCGCCGATTCAGTCCTTGCCCCCAGCGCTTCAAAGCAGAGCGCAGATCGCACTTCTGCAGCTGAAAGCAGAGGGCCAAGTGGCCCTCGTGCTCGAGAACCTGGAACATGCGCAAACTTGATGACCGTCTGTACCTACTACCTTGTTTGTTGTACGAGTACGTGATCCTTGAAGAAGCAGAAAACAAATGAAGCACTGCCCACATCACTTCACAGCCAAACAAGGCCCTGGTCATCTGCTCGCCTTGATTGATTGTCCGGACCTGTCTTTCTGACACTATGTGGAAACCACCAACCACCAACCTTCAAAGTGAACCAACCCAACCCACCAGCCAACCCAACCCAACAAGTTCATCCCTGCAGCCTTCTGCAGCGTGGTTTCGAATGGCTTCCCTTTGGCTTTGGCTTTGGCTTCCCGGTAGTTTCCCTTGGGAACGTGATCAACCCAGCACTACCCCCAGAAAAAACTCCCAACCCCCCCCCCAAAAAAAAAAAAAAAACATTATATATATATATATATATTTAAATAAGTAAAAAGAAAGCTGATCAACCCAGCACTACCCCCCCCCCCAACCACAAAAAAAAAAAGAAGCCGCCACCCGCCTCCGGCCCGGCAAGGCCCAGGAAGCAGCGCGCGCCCTCGGGGTCCAGCTCGGAGGCCTTAGTCCGGAGCCGCCGCATCAGCTTCACCTGGCACGGTGGGGCCGTGAGGCCGTGAGGCCGTGAGGCCGCGAGGCCGTGAGGCCGTGAGGGGGGGGGGGGGGGGCGGGGTGGGGCCCCTGAAACCCCATTTGGCATTTGGTATGGTTGTTCTCAAGGGAAAGCAAAGGAGATCGATGTGCCAGGCCATGGCGTTTGGGGGGGGGGGGGGTTGGGGTGGGGGGGAGACGCCACCCACTCCCAATCTTTGCAAAAATATGTTCATGTGTCTCAAATCTTGGAACCACGCATTCTAGTTTTAGACGCTAACGTGCGGACCGTGTGGCCTGTTGTTCAAGGGCTTCTTCTGAAGGAAACTTCCCAGTTTCAGAACTCCGGAAAGAAAGACACAAGACACGTCCCTTCAATCGGTATAAGAACGCTTGCCACTCGCTCTACAAACTGTGTTGTACTGTTGAATCAATTACTCAAATGGAAGCGTGCCAATCGAATGCCACACCTAGACCTGTTTCATGACCCTTGAGAACACACCACTGAGTCGAGTCTCCAGCGACCCTTCTTTGATTTGTCTGGAGGCAACGAGAAACCGAGGCAAGCACACGCAGCGAAGCCAAACAAAATGGGGAACATGCGTGAGCAAAACAAGGCAGCTGCTGTGATTGCTGTGCCAGGATTTGCCCGCCCATGCGCCTCCTGCTCCGTCGCGCTCCGCAGCACGCTGTTTTTGCGAATGAACTTCACCTCAGAAGGTGCACCGGCTGCACCTCCCCCCAAAGCACCTGCCCAACCAAAACGAATCCCACGAGTCGAGGTCACGATGCGGCCCGAGAAAGTGTGACGTGTGCGTGTGTTGCTCAGCCCTCCACCTGCACTGCAAACCCAACAGCCCTCCGGCCACCGTGTCCCGGCAATGGCGTGGGTGTTTGCAACTGTCTAGCAGTCAAATGATAGCTTTACGGCTCGGTGCAGGCCAAGCAGCTGCGTAGTGTCTTTCCCCTTCAGCCTATCAGAGCTTCCCATTTGTTGCTCAGTCTTGGCACTGATAGTCCACACACCAGCCAACTTTCAAGCGTGGCTCCACTTCCCAGCTTGGCAAGTAAGGGGCCACCACAGTGCACTACCTTACAAACAACATAGTGTTGGGATCTGATGAATAATCCTTTGACTGCTGACCTTCTCCCTGAGTCCACTATGTCGTAGACCACTGAAGCAGTCTGAATTTCAACGCCGCTAATGTTGACCCTAGACGAATGAACCCCAGTCCCCCCAATCAGCTGGCTGGGCCAGCAAAAAAAAAGCATCTCACTTGAGTGGCCAACCCCTCCCCTCCCAACCCCCACCCCCCCCAACCCCCCCCCCACCCCGCCCCCACCCCCAACCCCCACCCCGCCCCCCCACCCCCTCCCCCCTCCTCCGACCCCTCAACCCGCCTTCATGTCCCGGCACCGGAACACCGTGGAGAAGGCGCCCTGGCCCAGGGCCTCCTCCAGCAGCAGCCGGTTCTCGGGGCCCAGCGGCTCTCCGAAGTCACCCCGGTAGTACTCCTCCACCCAAAACCAAACCAGACTTGCATGGAGCGCTTCAGGAGCGCTTCACAGGCCAGATGCCGAAAAAAATGGGATGCAGATTCTTGGGCGTGTCAGAACTGTTTTTTGTGTGTGGGTCAAAAGCATCTGCTGTGCACATGCCCACATTGCGCTTGGAGTGTGTATGGGTCAGAACCAAACCACTAACAGGTTGCCAGGCGCTAGTCCATGTTTTGCATGAGTCCATGATATGGGCTGCCCAATGTTTGACCCACAGCCGATATGTTTTGAAACTGTGGGAAACTCTGTTTGCCCGTCAAGTCACATTTCAACACACACGCCCATCATTTGGCTGTGGGTCCAAATTGAACCACCATGGCACCACAAGTTTTAGTCCATGTTTCCCTTTACTAGGGTTCCCATTTTGGGATTACCCTGTTTTTGACCCCCTGCCATTTGTCTGGACGGGAAAGAGGTCTTGGAGTCTGCCCGCCCTGCAATCGATTTTCCGCCCGAGTCCTTCTCGCGGCGCTCCTGGCCAAGGGCCGGGCAAGAAGCGAGAGTTGCGAACTTGAGCTTGAGGGAAAATAGAAACCCAAGCTCTGCCCAGCAGGAGCCCCGGGCGGTTCAAAAAAAAAAAAACTAGCCCCGGGCGATTCACAGAAAAACGAGACTCTACGCGTAGAGGCAGCCCTGGACTCGGTTTTCTGACCGGCCAGCCCTTCGCCTGCTTCTCCAAGGTATCACGGCGGTCGTCCATGTCGCGCTTGGCCTCGACGTGTCCATGCTATCAGTTTTAGCGAGGCCCTTTGGTGGACATCGTTTCGTTCGGGATTTATGTCCACCAATCCCTTTTGAGGCGGTTCCCTATTACAGTTCCTGGCCATATCTCAGACCTGAAACATGTCTTACTTCTGTTCCCCCGCAAGCTAGGCCAAACTCCAGCCATCGCCTGCAGCAACATGAACTGGAGGTGGTGAGTGTCCTGACGCCCCGCATCCGCAAACGTTGCCGTCGCCCGCATCGCCCCACATCGCCCCGCATCGCCCGGGCAAAAGCGCCGGGCGACCCCTCACAACACGTGATTTATATGGCCATAGGTCAAAATCCAAAATCCCGTACCCCCAAAAAACATCCCAATCCAACGACTCAAACAGGTTCTAAAATCACCGAAAACTCCCAAAATGGGATCCCAAAAACGGTTTTGACAACGACCATAAATATGTCACCAGTCACCAGTGTGCCCCTGCCTGGGAGAGGCTCTGCTGCAGTGCCTCAATGCCACCCTTGTCCAAGACCTGAGACTGCTCTCACCCGAGGCCCATCAAGAAATCGGTGAAACCGAAACCCCTGGATGGTCCTTCAGCTTTTAGAGCTAACATGAGCCATCAAAAAAGAAAAACGGTATCAAAAAGGGGTCGATCCCCAGGACCATGTAAGGAATTAAAAGGGCCGCACCCATTTATGGCTGACATTGTCCATATCCCTCATCTGCCCGAATCGATTTTCAGCAAGTGGCTCAAATGGAAGGCGCCTTCTGTCGGGGTCCAGAAATTGTTCAACGCTGGGCCTAGGAGAAAAGGGCACGCCAACCGTGGCAAACAAGCAGCACCAGGAAACATCTGTGCTGGTGTGTATGTGTGTGTAAGGATTTGTTTCCTCTGCCACTAAGTGCTGGCATCCTTGAGCATAGACGGGGTGTTCCACATGCAAGCCTGCAAGATCAAGGCGGAATATCAAACTGAAATGTCTTGGCGACTTCGGGAACTGCAAAATAAGTGACACCTGAAGTCTGTCACGACGTGACAGGAACTCATGGCTTGGCTCAACTCAACAGAGCATTCCGTGATGTTTCGGCCAGCAGCGCCTTGTCCCTGGGCTTCTCCGGCGGCTTCTCCTTCGCGTCTTGCGACACCTCAGCCTGGATGGTCTCATTGGGGGGGTCCTGCAGCTTGCTCTCCTTTGCCTGACGAGACAGCCACGATCCTAAGAGTCCTGAAAACAAAAAACAGCTCGCGTCTGCGAGGCGCGTCGAGGCTCGGTTGCCTCCACATAAAGAGACACAAATCCGAGCTGCGGAGTCTGTTTTGGGCTTCGGCTGATCCGACGGCTTGCCATCCTTCTCTTTGGCCTTTGGCGTCGCCACCTTCTCCTTCGGCTTCTCCGTCAGCTTCTCCTTCGGCTTCTCCGTCAGCTTCTCCTTCGGCTTCTCCGTCGGCTTCTCCGTCGGCTTCTGCTTCGGCTTCTCCTTGGCTTTCCCATCCTGGGCTTGAACTTCACATCCCGCGGCCCCTATTCGGTCAGGGCTTCCCGTTTCGGATCTGAGAAAAAGCAACAGGAGCTCTCTTCTCCTCAGTGACCCCGCAGTTCAGCTAGCAGCTTACAGCTTCCTGTGGCTTTCAGCTAAGCTGCACCGGCCTTCTCCTTCGGCTCCGCTTGCGGTTGCTTTCCTGGCTCCTTCTGCTTCTCTTTGACCTTCTCCTTCGCTACAGGTTTCGCTTCAGCCTTGTTGGCTGGCTTGCCGTTCTTTGCCTGCTTCTCCTTCAGCTTCGAGTTCTTCACCTCTTTCGGAACCTATCAGACTGCTCAAGATGCTTGCCTGCATGACCAGAACAGATCACTCTGGCAAATGAACCGCGCCTTCAGCTCTATCTCCAGCTTCTTGCCTTTAGCATCCTCGCGATCGAAGCGAGCCGTTTTTTCTGCTGGGTAACGTGCCAACACGCCAACGCACGTGTCACGTCCTTCTCGCCCTGCTTCCTGGCATCCTTCTGAGGTGTCGGAGCTTTGTTTGCTGGTCTTTCCTGGTCAGGAGTGAACGCGTGATTCAACAAACAACTCGGTGCGGGTGCAAACTTTGGAAAGCATGCCTCTCTCACTCTCTCTCTCTGTTTCTCTCCACTTCTGACCTTCGCTGTCTCCTTTCTCTCTCTTTCTCTCTCTTTCCCTCTTTCTATGATAATTGTGGTAGTTAAAATATGACATATCCCACTACTTTCTCCCTCATTTGTTCTCTTTCTCTTTGTCTTTGTCTCTCTCTCTCTCTCTCTCTCTCTCTCTCTGTACGTGTTTGATTTATATTCTCATTGATCAACCAGTAGGCATGCATCCGCGCCCACTGTTGCCAGAGCACGGAAGGAACTGGGCCATTGGAACTCTCCCGCGCCTTGCTGCGGCTCTTCCCCGCGTTATGTCTTCCTGAGCACGGCTGTCAATCGGCTGGACCCTGACGGCTGTCAATCGGCTGGACATCAGGGCAACTGAAGAAAACCTCAGGCGACCCGACAGGTACCATTTCGGCAAGAACTCTGTGACCCATGTCTGAGTGTCAAGTTTCTACCAGAGCCAGACAATGTGTCCCACTCACACACCAAAAACAACAAAGGGAAACACGCACATCTCCATTTGCACATACAGTTATGCATATACATGTATATATATATATACGTGTTTTGCACACGTGAGTCTATGGAGCCCGCATCGAACCCCCCCAAATCCGCTCCGCGTCTGCGGAAGATCGAGGGCGAGCTCCGCGAGCTTCGGCTCGAGCTGTAATACGAGCTGGACCTGAGGCTCAGTTGCCCGGGACCCAGAAATAAAAGGTTCACCTGGCTGTGGCTCAAATTCAACAGGGGCAAACCGCTGGTTTTGGCCCATGTTTCCACTTACCAGGGCAACCAATTTTGGAATTCCGGTTTTTTGAGCCACACCCACCTGGGTGTGGGTCAAAATTACTCCACCAGAGGTTTTTGTCCCTGTTTCCATTTACCAGGGCAAGCCATTGTGGGATGTCCAACTATTTTTGCATGTGGGGGTTGATCGAGAGGTCCTTGACATGGGATGACCACAAGCAAAATAATTAAACCACCAGAATATGGACCGCAGGTTTTAGTCCGTGTTTCCATTTACCCGGGCCAGCCATTTTGGGATTACCCTATTTTTGACAGCCACAGCCACCTTTTGGCACCGGGAAACTAAAAATGGGAACCCAAACCTGGGAAACAAAAAGCTGAAAAGGTCGATTCGCTTTGGGCTAAGGAGAGCTTGGGCTGCGCCCGAACCACTGGGACTCGGAGGAGAGAACTGAGAGCCGTGCCAAATACATGGCTCTTTGTAACATGGCGGCGGTTTAAAGAAAAATCAGGAGAAGAAAAAAAAAACGAAAATGCGGGCTTGGTCTGGTACGTGGACCCAAGCACTCAAAGCGGGGGGTGTTTTTGTGCTTGAAGTTTGAACCACCACCTGGGCACCCCGAAGGGCGTTGGAGGTTGCCTCCGAAAGGCTGGACCCTCGGCAAAGGCTCCCTAGCTGGACAGTCCAGGGCGTGAATCACTGGAGGCACCCTGCTGCAGGGTGAGTTTGGCGCAATGACGGGTCCATCAAGCCGGGGTCCTCCGGATTCACCACGCTTAATGCCACGCGGCCTCGACCCCTCGGCCCCTCGACCCCTCGACTTGGGCCACCAGACACGCTCCGCCTCCGCCTCTTCCGGCTCGCACGCGAGCTCGACCGGCTTCCTAGGGCCCAGAAATAACGACCCGGCTTCCTAGGGCCCGGCTTCCTCGACCGGCTTCCTAGGTTTCAACCCTTCGGCTTAGAAGAAGCCCAGGGCGGATGTCAGATGCATGCTCCGCTCTGGAAAGAGGGCGACTTCTCCGGGCTCGAAGTGGGTGTCTTCCTTCTTGCAGGTTTCGAGGGGGGCTCGCGCCATCTCTCCCACTGCTTCTTCCGCAATCAGAGACTGGGGTTCGCAGCCGGGATTCGCAAAGAAACCCTACAAACTGGCCAACCCCTGCATGTGCCACTGAACACTATCCAAAGCAACAGCAGCGCTTGCAAAACGCAGACACCCGATTAAAACTTCGGGTGCTCGTCAAGATGGGACTATGTCGAATTGCTAGCTTTCTTTTGGAGTCCCTTTCAAGCCATGCAAAGATCCTTACTAGCACATCATGACGAAAAACACAGCATTGTTGGGAAAGAGACAATGACTCAGCTGCTGCAAGTATGGAACTGTTTGGCACGAGGTGTTGTGCCCAAAAACTGGCTGTGCCATCAGCATTGCAATGTCTGCCGAGTATCCAGAACTCGCGCGATATCGCTTTCTGGCCATAGCTCAAGCATCCTTGCGTTCGGCATAGTCTTTTTGAATACATCTTCATTGCCAGCAGCTCAAGTACTTGCACACATGCCCCTCACATTGCCTTACACGCTCATTGACTCATTTGCCAGTCTGGACGTCCGTGACCCAAACGGCCCATGTCTGACCTTCCCTGAACGAGAGCTGCCTCCAGGCGCGGGATCCAGAATCGTGGTGTCCGTCGGCTCGGCGATCCGCACAGAAAGCCCGGAGGCGCCACCGCGGGGCTTCAAACAAATGCTATCAACTCATCCATGGTTCAACGAGACTTCTGATTTCTTCGTCAAAATCTATTTTGGTGGGTTTTTGTTTCTGACTCAAACCTGTGTGAGTCATGTTGCTTCATGTTGCTTCATGTTGCTTCATGTTGCTTCATGTTGCTTCATGTTGCTTCCCCTCGATGCGCTGTCCACTTAATCAGCTTGCTGTGTGAGTGAGCCTGAAAAGCGTGGCAGACGTACTGAAGACGAGCTGCACTCGTATGCAGCTCCGTGGAGACTTGGTTCGCACTTCCAGCTGGCCAATGTTTGAACAAACCACGTGCCTCACAGACAATACACATGCTTTGATGATCGAAAAGCATTGATTGCAGGCCCGGACCCTTGCTCAAACAAAAGCAAGCCACATCTTGAAAACAACAGTCATCATCCCCCCTGGCACACGCAACACAGGTCGTTGAAAGTCCTACTGATCCACTTGGTCTTCCCAAGTGACCAAAGATCCACAAAGTTAGTCTTCTTTGCACATCCCTCTGAACGGGGAAAAGAGAGAGAGAGAGGAACGCCTGGATGGCATTCCGACATCAACTCTCCGAGGGCATGGCATTTCTTGGCAAGAGCAAATGGTCGTAGCGAAACGTGGCAAGGTGGAGCGAGGAACAATGAACCAAAAAAAATGTTGGGTTTCCACCAAATGAGAACAGTGACTGAAGCTACACTTGTGTGGATATTTGTTGTTTCACGTTTCTGTTCCATACAGAAGTTTGTGGGCGAGTGTGTCTCTTGTGGTCCAAAACCGTGTTTTGGCTCTCACAAATCAGTTGCAAAATAATTTTTCAGGAAACTGTTGGCTTCCGATTGCCCAAGTCAAGTTGCATGGCGAGGTGAGCAAGTTGCACAGGCAAGTTGCATCAGAGGCGGAAGCAAACTGCGCGAGGAACGTATTCGAGAGTTTTGCAAAACTGGCTACACGAGCTAGTCGCAAAAACACTAAGCAAGCGCAAGAGGTGTTTTGCAACCACAATTAAAATGAGAGCGCAGTCAACCGTACGCGTCGGTCAACATTGAGAAGGGGACGCAAAGCCTGACACGCAGGCACACAGTCACAGAAACACAACAACACGGATGGATACACAGAGTCGCGGACACACAGACAAACAAACAGACTGACAGCGGGTACACAGACAGACAGCCCCGAGGGGACTAGCGCAGACAGAGACACACCAAACAGGCACACAGAAACAGCGACACGTAGACACGCGGGCATGCAAGTAGACGAACAAACACACACTGTCGGGGGGCGTCCTTTTACGCACGCGATGAATAAGAGATGACCACGAAGCACGTTTCCGAACTAAATGAACGGGGGTCATAAGGTTTGCAACGGCTCGCGGTTCAAGATTGGTTTCCCGCAATTAAGTAGTTCTACCTCACAACCGTGGTGCTTCACGCAAGTCTCTTATCAAAAATACGTTAGGGGTGTGCTCTACCACGTTTTTTTTCCCAAATACTTTATTCTTAGTTCCTTTTAGTTGTCCCCTCATTTTTTTATTGCGTACTCTTATTTTCTGTAAATATTACTCCTGATTTCTCTAAATGTTTCTCTTGTTTCTCCCTAGTGTTTCCCTTGTTTGCTCCAAAACGTGCTCTTATTGTCCACAAAGATGTACTCTTATTTTCTTCTAGCGGCTACTCTCATATTGTCCAAAATTTACTCTTGTTGTCTTATAAGTTATAAGAGTTGCTGACAAACGGAGTGGCGGACCTTTTGACTCGATCCGCTTAGACAAACATTTCACTATGTGTGTCTCACATGACAAGGGGCCGTGACTGAATCCGTGGTTCCTGACATGCTGCCTTCACGTTCCCTGCATGTGAGACATGGGCTCAATCTACGCCCTTGGCCGTAATGCTGGCACCCTGGGTTTGCGCGGTACGCACTACCGGCTTTTCTGACCGTTATGCGCTCGGATGGTTGTGGCCGCGTTTGGCCTCAACGTGCATTTTGGGGCGTGCTTTGCTATCTCGACTGTCACCCAGCTGATCTTAGTGATCTCCCGGGCCAGGCTCAAGGCTCCAGTGATGGCCAAAATGACCACCATCCATGTTGCTTACTTTTTCTTGGGCCGCCTCCTTGCGACTGCGCCACGATGGCCAGTGCCACAATCAGCGCCATTTGGCACCCGTCTCAATCCACTAAGGATTTTCCTGAGAGCATTTTCTTCTCAATCTCCATGAACTCCTCCTTGCCGATTCTGTCTGTAGAGTTTGCTGAGAACCTTGGTTCGAATGTCGCTGCAGTTGATCGCTGTTGGCATTGGTGTCACCCTGATGATCTTCTCGTTGATCTTCTCCTGCACCCACATCAAGTCCCAGCCTTGCACCCATTGCACGTGCCGCTGCGGAGTCACTCCGGCAGATGATCTGGGGGATGTGGCCTCTGATCAAGCTCCCGATGCGCCGTCACACACTTGTCCATTTAACGGGCAAGTTGCAGCGCAAGAGACGCAGAAACTTCTGGGCCAAAGAAATTATCCCGGCAAGAGACCCCAAATAGTTTTGGGCCTAACTTGAAGACAGGTGGTCCAGAAGCATACAAAAACGTTAAATAAACACTGACACCTCGCCCACCTCATGAGATCGTAAACACGCCGATGCCCCTGCTCAAGCGTAGCTTCTGCGAAATCTGATGAGCAAGCTTAGCATCAGGCTTCACAATCTCTCCTGTCAACTGCTTGAGCGCGTGACGCTGTGGCTTGATGTTGCGCGCGAAGCTGTGCGTGATGTTGCGCGTGATGTTGCGCGCGATGTCTCATGATGCTGCGCGCGGTGCAGCGTCAGATGCTGCGCATGATGCTCTGCAACCTCTCTTGCCAAATCTTTCACACCCTCTCTTGAAAAACTCTCTTGTCCGTTGGGAATGCACTTTATGTACAACTTTGGCGAGTCGAGAGTGCCATGGGAACGCACTACGTACACTCCTTTGACATTTAAAAGTTGCAACTTGCAGCCGGAGCTCGGGAGCGCACTTCGCGTAGGAACCGACGGCCGACCGACCGACGACGACCGACCGAAGACGACCGACCGAAGACGACCGACCGACGACCAAAAAAAAAAAAAAATCCTGGGAGGGGGCTCGCCTTGCAGAAACAAAGGCAGCTACGGGGCAAATTGCCAAACCGCATGTCGAGGGGTCGATTTTAGCTCCCGGATTCTTCGCAGGACGAGGTCGTTTCCTGAACGGACGAGTGTCAGAAGCCCCTCCGCTGCATCACAACCCGTTTGGGGAGTCGCCTCAGGCGACGCCAACAAGTCCGCAAAATACGTTCAGTAAGCTACAATCCTTTTACAATCCCGAGCACGGCCTCATGAACTACATTATGAAAAAGTTCAAGAACCTCTGGAACACAAGACATGCCGTTGGCGGAGCGAATGGATTTCACCATGTCGACCTCTTGCACAATCATATCCATTGCTCGTCACCATCTTCACATGAAGGAAGGTTCAGGATTTGACAGAACGTTTCCGGATTGCATGATGACCTTCGTGTTCAGTTGGGGAAAGACTGACATCCAACAAGAGTTCCGTAAATTCAAGATTTCCAAGCTCGATCAAGATACGATGGGTTCCATGATAGCAGATGCGCACAAGGTCATCTCCAACTACAAGGTCACTTCCGCCGAGCGCTACAAGCGCATCAACATTGAGATGCTAATGCTTGGACCATGCGACTCCGACTCTCAACACCCCATTGCTGGTCTACATTCGCAGCCTTGCAGCTGATCAAGATAGAAATTTCCACCGCAAGAAGGAGTACAACCAGAACAGGAAGAAGGAGAATGAGACAGCATGGACGCAAGCCAATCCGATAGCAGCTACCGTTGGTACTCGCAGAAGCGATGAGATACTATGACAACCATCCACGCTAGGAACAATCACAAGTACCTGGTCCACGCGCCGGTGATTCCGGGGCAGGGGCGGAACGCGGGGGGGCTACGAGCGCAGGGACTGCCAGTGAACGAGCTGGGCGGGGCCATCCGGCCCACTGGGCAACCCTTCCCTGCAGCTCTACTTCCTAGCCGGATAACACTGGGTGGTCATCACCCATAAACTCGAGAACCGAGGTGAAGACGCTCCTGCGCCAGCGCGTGAGGGACTGAAGAGCGTGAGCTTCCAGCTGCCCTGCAAGAAGGACGTGCTGCCGAGCGCCTTCGAGGAGAAGCCCCTCTGCGTGCCCCGCAGGCCGAGCTGCTGCAGCTGAGCGTGGAGGCTGTGCGCCGACTTCGACGCAGTGTGTTTTTTGGCCCGCGGGCACAAGGCTGTGAAGCGGGCGCTGGAGCGGCAGGCGGCGCGCGTGCTGCACCGGGGCGAGTCGAGGCAGACCCTCCCGCTGATCACGCGGGCTCAGGCTGAGGCGGGGCACAAGAATCCGAGAGCTGCCACCTAGATACGCTTGCAACATGCCCCGCAGCTGCGTTTCTGCAAGGCAAGCTAAAAACCATGGAAAAAATAGGGTTCCTTGACCGACCGACGACGACGACCGATGCCGACCGACCGACGACGGCCGAACGACCGACGACGGCCGAACGACCGACCGACGGCCGAACGACCGACCGACGACCGAGGGTTCCAAAAAAAAAGGGCTTCCTTTGAGGGGGCTCGCCTTGCAGAAACGAAGGCAGCTGCGGGGCATTTTGCCAAACCGCATATCTAGGGGTCGTTTTGTTGCAGCCACACGCCTGCACGCAGCATTTTACATTTCGAATCCTTCGCAGGACGAGGTCGTTTCCGGACGGACGAGTCAGGTTTTCACGACCGGCGTACCGCTCGGCTGCCGACCAGGACACGGCCATGGCCTCGAGCCTCGCCGCCGCCCTGCTCAGCTCTACACCAGCTGAGAGTCACGCTTGGTCTTGAAGATAGCTGCCTCGAGGAGCAGGCGAGCAGATCCTGGGCCCCGTCTCACTGGCAACTGGACGGTTCGTCCCAGCAGCGGCTGCAGCGTCGTGCTGGCCACGCACACCGTGGGCGCAGCGAGCGTGGACGGCTACACCCTGACCCTGGCAGCGAACCCCTGGAACATCGCGCGCACCTACAACTTGACGCCCGGCCGAGAGCTCCTCTTCGCCTGCCGGTACCGGCTTGGCACGGCCTCCAACTTCGTGGTGTACATGTCCGAGGCCGACAACGTCTACGACCCCCTGTATACGGCAGCTTTGCGGCAGACGAGGGCGCCTGGAGCACGGCCAAGATGTACTTCACCGTGGTGCCCAACGGAGTTGCAAAGCTGCACTTCGGGGCGCACTTCCAGGCGCCGGGCCTGCCCAACCAGACGGCACAGATCCTGGACGCAACCCTGGAGGCCGGCAACCCGACGGAGGTCGAAGAGGACATGGCGGCCTTGGCCCTGCTGCTGAAGCACGAGTTCCTCGACGGAGGGGCCGACGACGTCACGCTGGGTGCTGCTGGAACCCACCCTGACCACATTAGGCAATTTTTTGGTGCGCTCAGAGCTCCGTGGCCTCAGCCTGCTTCACGGTGGGAGGCTTCCAGCTGGAGGGCTACGCCATGACCCTGAGCGCCTTCGCCTGGAACATTGCGCGCACTTACACCCTGACGCGGCCTCCAACTTGGTGATACGTCAGCGCGGCCGACAACAACTACGTGGGCGTCACCGGCACCTTCCTCGGCACGGCCGCGCAACGAGTCTTGAGCACGGCGCGCCTGGACTTCTCGGTGCCGCCGGGCGGAGTCGCGAAGCTGCCGGGTCTCTGCAAATGGCTGACTGTACGTCACCCAAAGCCTAAGAGCTACTTGTCGATGCCGGATCGGAGCTTCACACCCACCATGCGCTCATTTTGCTTGAGGGGGATGTACCGCGGGCCATAGGATTGTTCTTTGATTCCAACTTCAAGATCACGCTCTTTGCCGCGCCCAAGGTGTCCAGACTGTCGGTCTTCAGCGCCATCGTCAGCTCCGTGTGGAGGCTTGCTTCCTTCAAGGGCACCAGCTCACACCTCTGTTATGAAGGCCTTGAGTTTGGCCTCCTCGTCCTTGTCTGCACATGGGACAGTCCATGGCGCTCATCTTATCTCCGGTCTGCGACTTGATCTTGGTGCCTGGAGTCCACAAGATTTGCCGCAAGGAAGAACATGAAGTTCCGGGGACCCTTGTTGAGCTTCCTCTGCAGACTGGCGCACCTTCCATGTTACAAAAGGGCTTGATGAAGTCATCCGCCAACGAGTAGTGCTCGGGGACTTCAGCCGCTTGCCTAGAGTCCTTGCATGGCAAGGCGCGGATCCTTTGCGGTCAGGCAGCGAGTCTGTTGCACCACATAGTTTCCCGGAAGCTGCACCCCGTTCTCGTTTTTGTGACCGAGGAAGGCGCAACATCTTCACCTTGGCGTCCTTCCCGGAATCTTCCCAGATGTAGTACATCTCGCAGAACCGCGGCGTCGCGGAGATGGCCCTGGTCATGAGACGCAGCTCGTACAGGACGGAGTCCCCCCGTACACCTTCATGTGGCAGAGGATCTTTCGAATTCCTCGAAGCACTCGATGACCTGTTTGCCATTCTCGCTGGCCTCAAGCAGACACTCCCGTCTCCACATGCTCCTTCAAGAAGCCAGAATGTGCTCGAAGAGCTTGGTCGCCTTGCTCGGCCACATCTCTGAGGTCGCCTTTGCGTGGAAGCCCATGCGGTCGGCGGGGATCGGTGATCGGAGGACACGCTCCTTGAAATCGTAGAGCATGCCGTCGCAAAAGAGGATAAAGAGACTGTGGTCGGGGCATCGCCGCACGGCGTCGAGCTGCAGAGCGTTGCTGACGGTGAACACGTCCGTCCGCTCCCAAACAATCCTCGGGAGGCTCGGTAAACTGCTCCTTGAACTGCGTGTAGTGCCCCAGTTGGGCGGGTGTCGGAAGCTCTACCTCCTCCACCTCCTCCTCCTCCACCTTGACCTCCGTCTCCGTCTCCATCTGCTCCTCAGCCGGCTCCTCCGTCTCCATCTGCTGGAGGGGCTCAGTCATGGGCCGCTGGCAAGTATAAGTGCCCTACCCGAGCTAAAGTGCTCTACCCGAGCTGTGATTAAAGTGCCCTACCCGACCTAAGCGCCCTACCCGAGCCAAAGTGCTCGACCCGAGAAAAGATTAAAGTGCCCTACCCGAGCTAAAGTGCCCTACCCGAGCTAAAGTGCCCTACCCGAGCCAAGCCAGTGAATGCTGCTGTTGCTGCTGTTGCTGTCCTGTCCGATCCGGGCCGATGCGCTGCGTGTGCGGAACATCCCTCTCTCACAGGATCGACGAAACTGTTCGCATGGAATCCCTTCTCCGCTTCAACCTTCAAAGTTCTCATCTGAATATTTACCACCAAGAATCTGCGCCAGTGTCGATCACACCGAAAGGTCCCCTAGCAAGCAAAACGGGTGGCGCTGCCACGCT